GGTCTTCATGGTTATTATTAACATTATCAAAGCCTCGATTCCTTCTTCTTTTCCAACTGCTTCTTAGTGTTCCAAGATCCTCAAACTTCCCTGCACGACGACGTTCTCAAGAACGGAGCCGGGGGGTATATCAATCGTGCTGCCCTCCGTCGCCACGATTATCACAGTGCCCTTCATCGTCACACCGCGACCGAGATTGACCGCGCCGCTGATCGTCAAGTGATCGAGCTCCAGGATCCGCGGGATGCTGGGAATCCGCTTCTGGAAATCGGAAACCTTTTTGAAATCACTTCCTAGCTTGATTAGTGGCGCGCCGCCGAACCGGTTGGGGTCCATAACCAGCTGCCCGTGCTGGAGCGTGTACAGGTCGGACTTGACCAGCATGAGATCGGAGCAGGTCTTGACAGGCAGGAAGCGGCGACGCGGGACGTTGACGCCGTGAGCGTTTTTGAAGTGGCGGATCGCGGCGCCGACGGCGGTTTCGAGCTGGATGATGGAGATGTCGGCCTCGCCTTTGCGGTCGGCGGGGATGGACTTGTCGTTGGGGATGATTTCCATTTCGAGCTCGTTGTGCTCCACGACGCGCTTGATGGCGCGCAGGTTCATCCAGATATTGTTGGTGTTGAAATATTTGAATTTCTTGATGGATTTGAATTCGTTCACGTGCTCCTTGGGCACCTGGGCGATTTCGAGCAGGCGGGCCCGGCCCTCGTAGTCGATGATGGTACCACCCTTGACGTCGGCTTTAGTCTTGTCAGTTAGTTCCATTATATATTCCGCCTTGTTCTTCACCATGTGTTCCAGAATCCGCATGTCGACAACAGCACCCAAGTTGTCCGCGTTGGAAAGGAAAACAATCTCCACTCCTCGGTCCAAGAGTTTGTCTAACGTCCCAGAGTTATAGAGTGACTCGAAAACGTCACCATGACCGGGGGGGTACCAGTCCGTGATGGGGGCCTGATAGCTTTTGGGGGCAGGCAATAACGAATCCTTGAGAATGCGGGGATATCGAGACTGGTTGAACGTCAGGATGTCAATGTTGTGTCCCTCGTACTTTTTGATTATCGACTGGGTGTCCTCGTCGGTATTGAAGGAGTTCATAAGCACAAACGGCACATTAACGTTGTACGTGCGGTTCAGGTACTCGATCTGCCGGACAGATAGGTCCAAGAAGGACATGCCCTCTCTAACCTCGATGACGGATTTGGGTCCAACACAGCCCATCGACGTCCCCAAGCCACCATTCAGCTTGATCACGGCCAACTTCTTCAAAAAGTCGACTGAAGCCGAATTCCCCAGTTCACTGTACTCGACGACTTGGCTTGGTTGTGGGGGAGCAATGCGATCCCAGGACAGGACGTTGCCTTTTGCCTTGTCGTTTAGGTATCGTCGAAATAGAGAAAAGAAGTTGTCCATCTCTGCTTCAAAACGCTGCTTTTCCTTGGGATCCGTGACGGTATCGGCGAGGGCATTGAGGGCATTGCGCATCTGTGACGCTGCAACGTTTGTAGATGCATTCTCGAAGGCCTTGACATCGCGGTCACCATGGTCACCATCAGTCAGCGGGGAGTACTCCTCAGAGGGAACTGGGATTTCCATTATAGTTCAAATAAAAAGATAGATAGATGGATGGAGAGTCTAAAACAAGCTGCAGCACAATGTTGGAATAAACTGATACATGTTGTATGCTCAAGAGATAAGTCGAGATCGAAATTCAAACTTCAACATGTTAAATAGGTAGAAGGAGGAATACCCATTCCCCCTCCGCCCCTATTCCAGAAGCTTCACATTCACTCTCTCACCAACAATCGAAGCCGTTGGACAAGGAGGGAGCGAAGTAAACAAATCTCGACAATTGAACTCATCTTGCACGGTTGAAATAGGAGGAAACAAAACAAAGCAAATCCAACCATGTGCTTACCATATGAGACTGGGACTTTTCATGACGCTTTCTCTCAAAAGGGCTTTCTGTGGGGGTCCCCGCGTCCGGCCTTGGGGACCGAAGATGAGATGGAATTGCCCTGTTCGCCATGTTCGCCATGTTCGCCATGACAGACCTTTTAATTTAGGAATCGATAAAATTGAAGAATACCAAAGAAGATATGGAGGTCTCAATGGAGGTTTGCAACTGTCAGTGGGCGCAACAGAGAAGAGTTGGGGCCAAGAGAGGGGCAAAAAGCGGTGATGTCGTCGTTGGTTGTGTTTCGTGTTGGGGAGAGAAAAACAGGTTGGCGAGTCGTTGGTGGGGATGAGTGCTGCCCAGCCCAGGCCCAGGGTTCTGGAACAACGAGTGTAATTTAGAACAACGACAGCCGCTTGTCCGCTACAGCTCCCCACCAAGGGCCGGTATGGGCCGATGGAGCGCGCACAGCAGGAGGAGGACCTAGGTTTGCTGCGTGGGAGGACACTTGGGCCAACTGTGCAAGCTTTGAGAATTCTTCCTTTCTATCTTACTTGCTTACTTTTTTACCAGCCGTTGCAAGAATTTACTTACGCGGTGACTTCTTTCTTAGCTTTATAATTATTTTATTGATGACCGCTTACGACAAATTCGTCTGGTTCCATGGAGTTTTCCACACAGCACGAATAAGTCGGAAAAACACGGGATTGAAACTCAAATTGAAAAAGGTAACCATGTCAGGGCAGAAGATGGAAACCGCTGGAGAAGAGGACTTGAAGAAGTATTTCATATACTAGAATTGTCACCGGGCAAGGTGATATATTCGCCACGGCCTGGATGCCACTGGTTATTGCAAACGGAAGCGGGTATGGTATTATTTTCGAGCGACGGCATCAAGCTACATTCTCTCTCACAGGCATGTCTAACGGGTACCCCAGGTTCTCCCAAAGTTTAATAACCTGAAATGGACCCTCCGCTTCGTTGACGAGTCCGTACAAGAAACCGTTGAAGGCTTCTCTCCCTACATATCCCTCTACGGAGTACGGAGTAATCTGTTCTCTGATAAAAATACACCAGGAGCTGAGCTGTCATCGATCGTTCTGGCAGCTGCCAGCACGATTCTCGCCCTCAATAAACCCTCGCTCCCAGACTACCCAGGTGGGGTACCAGGTACCATTGTGCGCTCAGGATCGTTCCCCTGCTGCTGGGCTCTGGTTGAGAGAAATGTTTTAAGACAAACCCCAATGAAGATCCTCCTGGATACACTTTTTTTCCCATTCAAATTTGAATTAGAGACAAGCCCCATACTAAGTTCACAAATGCAATTCCATTAAATTCAACGATGAATACTGAATGTCTCACACCCTGTCCTGTTGTTATCAGCTGATCCAGTGTGCCAGATGTACCATGGTCTATTCACCCCATCCATCTTCTAACAAATCATGCGGCTAACATCCGGCGTAATGGATGGTCCAAAGCATGGCGAGGGGAGCAGGGCTCCGTTCTTCACCACATTCAGATACAACCATATCCCTAGGGAATAAGGGATCCTCATTGTCTGCGTATTGCGGGTTCTGGCGAGCAGGAACAGATCTCAACATTATGGACTTTATAACTTCCCGCAGCCATGTGCACATTTCACAACACAGTAAAGCCATTGTCATATTATTATCAAGTCTATTCCGAAAAACTGTCCTGATCCGATCGACGCAGAGGAAGATGGGCGGGCTGTCTCGTTTGGATTTCTTGGTGGCCCAGATACTTGTAACTAGTCAACTAACTAGGAATTAGGGTTAATACTCAGCCCTAGCCGTTCTCGTGGCTGACTTTTTGGCACGAAGTTTTTTTTTTTTATTTTTTTGTCCTTCGGTGCCGTTGTTTTCTTGGATGCTCCAGGCTTCCTCCCGCACAGAGTGTTTTTTCGTCAAAACGTAAAACAAAATAGAAGAAGTTAAAAAATTAAAAAATTCTGTCGCCAATCAATCTACTACTCTCAGCTCGAATCAACAGATTATTTGGGAAGCAATCACATCCAATGTACAAATCGTTTCATGCAAGGGCCATATTAAACATCAAATATATAACTATCCTAACTCTCGCTCAAGAATCCGTCTCGCCTGTTCTGAACGGTTGGCTAGAGCTTTGAACGTTTGTTAGTCGCTCTTCAGAGTTCCCTGTCAATAATCAAGCAAACGTCAAGATTTCCTTTGATTCCCGTTACCTCAACAATTATCCCCTCTCAGCACCAATGGCAATTTTAGTAGTGACCTTTTCTGTTCTTTTCAATCATCATCGCGGCTTTTGCTAATTTGTCTCTCACCTCAAGGCGAGCTTGGCACAAACCAAACCTAATCTAAAAAGTCCCGAATCTTGATCGCGAAACACACAATGACGCAGACCACCAAACCCCAAGATCCTGAACCAAAGCAGAAACCAACACCCAGTCGTCGCTGGGTGAACTCGCCAAACTGGCGAGTAAAGCGCCTGGAAAATCCAGGACCAGACACTGCCAATGATGGACCTACGGAGCGAGAGCTGGATTTCAATCGCGGCCCAATGACGCACCGGGGAAACCATTCCCAAAATCGGAACTGGAATAATAACAATAATCGTACTCATAATCATAATAATAGCATCAATAATGGCCGTGACGGGTCAAAGCCGTCCACACCTGTCAAGTCTCCTCGTAGAGACCATGGCAATACCGATTCCCCAACCACGAACTCCTTTTCCGAGGGCAGGAGACTGTATGTAGGCAATATGCCGTACATGGCAAAGAAGAAAGATGTAGAAGCTCTTTTCACTGAAGGCGAGACGGTCTACAATGTGTAAGCATAACCTTCTTTCTTCTCCTCTTCAGAGTCCTCCTACAACCCCTTTCTTTGCCCAATTGGGGTCCTTTGCTATCAGCGGCCATGGTTAACAGCCCTCCACAGCGAGCGCGTCGACATATCAATCGATCCCTTCACTGGACGAAACCCTTCATACTGCTTCGTGGAGCTGGAATCAAAGGCGCAAGCTGACCTAGCTATGGCGGAACTGAACGGGAAAGACATGCTGGGCCGCCCTGTGACAATCAAGCCAGGTATCCCGAAGTCGTCCAAGGAGCCCCTTTTTGGACGAAGGGACCAGACCAAGATGACCCCAGAGAAGCAGCCGCCCCGATTCGCCTTTGAACGGTGGGAGCGGTCCGATGCCGCAAGCCACTGGTATGATTATAGCGCGCAGGGTCGCCGGCTGTTCGTTGGCGGCCTGCCCAGAATGCCTGACCAGCCGACGGCCGATTATGAGATACGGAAATTGTTTTACGGGTTCAATGTGTATGTGCAACATTATTAGCTTATTGTATCCCCAATTCCCCTTTGTTTTGGTTCTTTCCTTTTTGTTTCTCCCTTCAATTTTCGGTTATACTCCACACCAAACTACCCTGCTGAAGAACATCCCCTCCCAAAATAAAACAAAACAGCGAGGCAATCAGCAAAGTCATCTCCCCGCACCCTTCCAAACGCTCCCAACCAGGAAACCATTACTACCTCTTCGTCGACCTCGCCTCCTCCAGCGAAGCCGAGCGCGCCATCGACGCCCTCAGCGGCGTCAGCGCCGTCTGGGGCAGCCGCGTACACATCCACAAGGCCCGCGGTAACTCGCACAAACCCGCTGAGCGGGACCGCTGGGAGGAGAAGCGCAAGAAGGGGGATCAGCGGGAGGCGGATGCAGACGGCTTTGGCGAGGGCAGTGGTGATGGGGGAGACGTCCATGGCACTGGCAATGGCGATGGTGCTGCTGAATCTGTGCTCCGGCCAACACGGTCACGGTGGGGTCCCCCCGCTGGGTTTGAAGATGAGGCTGCGGTGTCTGCGACGCGGATTGCGCGTGCGGAGTCACCTCCATAGCGATAGTATGGTATTGCGTGCATGCATGGTTCATAGCTAAACACTAATATCCCAGACCTAATCAATGATCATAATCACGAGTTACCTTTTTTTTTTTTTTTTTTCACTCGCTTCTAATTGCACCCTACTACATTTGCTGGGTTCCCTAAACCACCCTTACAGACAGCGATGAATTGATGTTATTTTTCTTTTCTTTACTTTTCCTTTCCTTTCCTTTCCTTTCTTTTTCAGGTTTTAAGAAGCCTTTCCCCCTTATGCATATCGAAAGGGGGTTCGTTCGAATCGTTGCAACTCCTTTTTATGGTCCATTGGATTTGACGAACATGATATGTATATGCATTGTTTGCTTACTGTGGGCCATCGTATATCTGCATCTACATTAGCGATGCTAAACCTGTTGAACCTGGGGACTCCAGTGCAAAAAATGATATGGAAATCATTTACAGGGCGAAATGCATCTTCCTTTTTGTCACTCCAGAGCTTTGTTAGCTGGAAGTTTCTGTCTGCGTATCTATTCTATACTGAGACCCCATTGAATCATGTGATCGGGTGACCCTCTACATGTTTCCCCTCGGTAGCAAGGCACGCCCCGCGAATGCTTGTTTTCCCCAAATATTTTTAAAGGACAACAATCCGGTCATTGCACGATCGTCGCAGAATTATACTCCTTTCCGTTCCGTTTCAGCTCCTCAATTATTTGGCTGCCTGTGCGTCCTTTGTCGGCGCAACTTAGGGTCTCAACCCCATCTCTCCTGGGTTCACTTACCTCCTGCGAGTATCAAATTTCATGCCCCGAGGTTGAAACAGGAGCCCATTAAAAACAATTAGCCACTGATGTACTGTACGTAGCTCAGCACTGATAAAGTATAAGTCTATAGTAGGAGCACCAAATACGGTATATTTGAAGTTAAAGCAAACGAGGCCGCTAAAAAATCCGTAGAAATGTGTATGCATAAACGATGGAGCGGACACGTCCCTATAAAAAGACGACAAGAATCACTAATATCGGATATACCAATGCCGAAAGAAAGAAGCTGAACCCGAAAACGGAACACAAAAGAAGCGAGAAAAGAAGGCAGTAAAGAGGAAAGAAAGTAAAGAAACGAAAAGAAAAGAAAAAGCATATCGACTATACCACCCAGCCTGAATCCGTACAAAATTGGAAAAAAACAAGCATTGGGTCGGAAAAGTATAAAAATGAACAAGGCCCAGACATCCCTCAAACAATAGACCATTAGTTTGCCTTCACATCAGCTCCCATTAGGCACAGTCCCGCTCACCGATCGTTTCCCCAAGAAGCTCCTTCTCGATTTCCTCTCTGGGCTGTCGATTTCGTCTCGTTTATCGCCCGTTGACGAATGAGAAGTGCCAGGACGCAGAGACAAAGTTTCAGCAGACGAAAACGAAGATTTCAGTGTGACTGTACCGCCGCCAACTTTGATGGTGTGTTCCCTTCCGGCACTAGATCCTTGATCATCGACGAAGAAGAGAGCCTCACCTAAAACATCATCTGACCCAAAGGTTGAATGATCCTTAACTTGCAGTTGGAACTGGGTGTCCCCTGCAACATTAGAGACTTTGAAAGTTTCATGGGACGGGTCAAACTGGACGGTAGGTGTCGTGGTAGGAGTGGACGTTCCAGAGTGGTGAGCTGATTTTATGGCCTTGGTTTTGTGCACTTCTTTTGCGCCCCTGGAGGTCATCTGTTTAACTGTGACACGCACATTGGCTCCGGAAGGATATCCTGCAGCGGAAACAATGGTGAAGTGTGCTGTCCCGGTATCGCCTTTGCCGCCACCGCTCCGTCCAATTTTCTCATTTAATTGAGAGGCAATGCTACGAGAACGGCTGTGTGGTGTCTGAGAGGAGTTATGGGTCGGGGTTAATGGAGGCGCGGCTCCGTCAACTAGGACTGACGCTCTTTGCGGTGTGTCGATCGGCGTATTTTCCGAGGCGGGGACTGCGACGTTATCTCCTCTTGATGGTTCTGGTGAAGTAATCGACTTGTTGTCATCATCGTCCTTGCTACTACCGAGACGAAGGAGATTGTGTTTAATGAATGATGCACCTTTAACCACACCACCACCAACCAATCCCACTCCTTTAACTGGCGCACCAACAATTTTGCCTGGGGTGGCAAATGTGCCGGAGAATGTAGAGGAACCTTGTCGAGATCTCATCACATACACTGGCTTGAAAAGCAGTTTGAGCCGTACTGCGCCAGATTTCCCATCAAGCGGGTACGAAATTTCAGTAGCACGGAACGGTTCCAACTGCTCAAGGTTAATATCTGTTCCACCTAAGTGGTCCGCCCTGTCACCGAAATCCCAGTCGTATACCTCGAGTCTCATATTCGCATCAATTCTAGACTTGATAGAGCACTCGAAAAATTCATTCCACGCCGGATGCAAAGTCTTCTTCTGCACCTTGGTTTTAAAAACGTCTTTGCCATTCAGCTTAAACTTGCAGTATGGATCGCTAAATCCGTTGCGATCAGCGGAAGGCAAGTCGGCAGCATCCAAAACATCGACACGAAGTGTTCCCATATTATTGATACTTTCTCTAGGGTCCAACTTCATCTTCACTGGAATATATTTTAAGCTGACAGTGACTTTGCTAGTCGAACCGTCGGGTGATCTAAGTGTTAGCTCCGTAGGTTTGTACTAATATCATAAGTCAGCATATCCAAGGTCCCCAAGTATAGTTAAATGACAGTGGACACGTACCAGGCATTGTTGGAGAGTGGGCAGTGTCGGTCCGGTGAGCTTGGATAAAGCATGTTCCCCATCCTCATCTCCTTTGGTATCCGTCTTTTCAACGAGTCGGAGAGTGATTTTTGACATTTCAAGTTCACGGACAAACGCATCGCCAACTAGCAAGTTTGTTGGGTTAGAATCAAAATAATTAGATTGGGGGAAGGGTATAAGCTGACCATCGCCGAAAACAGCTTCCTTAGTTTTTGTTCGAGGTGAGGTATAGGATGGGAATACGTGATCATCCATCAAAACTTCAAGTTGAACATTGGAGTGCGCCATACGGCCTTCAATGAGCTTGAAAACAATCAATCCAGACTCTGTGTTCCCAAGTTAGCATATATTAACTTCGAAATAGACAACTTTGGTCATGGGTCATTAGTGCATACCGTATTGAGGGAGGTCTTGTGGAGTGAGGCGGATTTTAGGAGCTGCTGAAGCTTTGAGTGAACTTTGAGAGGCATTGGCTGATGGCTCCCTTGAAGCAGCGATATCAAAGCTTGGCGCACTGTTTTGCCTGGTTTCGGCACTAGCTTTCGTCCCATTGGTACCGTTGGTGCCGTTGGTGCCATTTTCAAGCTTTGGGCGGCCGTTTTCGAGGCTCTCTCGCGGTCCGTCCATGGGCATCTCACTAGCCATAGCTGCGCGAGTGGCTTCTTCCTCTTCTTCTTCCTCGGGATCGGCTACATTAAGCGTGGGATAAAAAGCAACAGTATAATTGATAACACCTTTAGGCGTACCGTGATTGGCAATACGGAGACCAGTTGACATCTGCTGCTTCTCATCGTCAACTTCGTATTCGCCATTCTCGTTTTCATGGATGTAGTCAGAGGCGGAGAGCTCTATCATTCCGAGGGGTCTGTCCTTTCCAAGGCTTTCCTCATCCATAACCTGGAGAGCAAGCTTCTCACGTGGAGAGTGCATCGGGATGTAAAAAATCTCATCCCACTCAGGGTCAAGATTATTTGCGAAAGTGACGGTGCGGCCTTTTTCAATTCCAGAGAGGAGGACTCGAGCATAAGGGTCCGACTTGCCCATCGTCTCCACGTTTCTTAGACCTTTAGCGCTTTGGATATGTATCCGCATGACACCAATGGGATAAACATATCCTCCGCTACCAATTATCCCCCTGAGGGCCACAGGTTTCCATTCAGCCTTAAGTTTAACACGGCCGGTTTTCGCACCAGCGAGGTTGAACCATTCCTGACCTTGTTCCGTCAATTTCAACATGTCGTTGAGCTTCATTTGGTATCTGCCGAGAACAGGATCAGTAGCAAGATCTCGATCATCTTTAATCATCATACCAAATCGCGCCGTCTTTCGATCAGTAATTAATACTTCCTTGGTGGGGTTTTGGAAGATCGGGTTGTTTGTTCGCTTCAGCTTATTTGTAACGTGAATTTCTTTGCCATTCAACAACAAGACACCATATGGGTTAAGCTGTCCAATAAGACTCTTGGTTCCATCAAGATCCTTGGCCTGTTCAATTGTAAATCTTGCAATTCCAGAATTAGATTCCGGAGGAGGCTCCTCCGTTCCACCTTCGACTGTTGTCGCTTCGAGGACAGGGAAAAAGCGAACGTCAGCCATAAGACCTCCACGTAGCCGGCCACTGGATAAAATCTCAAGGGTCATATTTTCATGTTCATTATCCTTTTCGAGATGCTCCAGGGGGAATGTTGCTATTCCAAGCTCTTTGTCTTTCCGGAATTCGTTCCAATCGTAGACATGAATAGTAAGAGAATCGGTAAAGGCGGTGATGATGATGTAGATTGTTTCGTTCCACTTTGGGTTAGAGGTATCGTGAACGGTCTTCGTTCGACCAAGAGGATTCCGACTATTAATAGAGACCACTGCGTAAGGATCCACAGAGCCGCCAAACTTGTCAGAATTTTTGAGGCTCTGCGCTCCATGTAGGGTGACTGCAACCACGCCAATAGCTTGATCTACCGGATTGCCTGCAAGCATCTTGGCGATTTCGACAGGGAAGACATTAGGCTCATACATCATCGGGCCCAGGTTCCCATGGATTTGATCCTTGATAAAACTTTCCAGTCCAGGGATAAAGTTGATGTCGAATCCCATGAGATCGCCACCTAGTGGTTTGCAAACATAGTCGATTTCAGGACGGCCAATGAAAGATATGTCTACACGTTCAATGTGCGGGAATGGGATTTGGAGCTTCACCTTCACTCTCATCAGGCCTGAAAATGCGAAGTCTTCCACAATCACGTCAAGGCCTTTTGAAACAAGAGCTTTCCCAATGCGTACTTCTAGTACAACCTTTGGGTTTATTTTATTTGCTAGCTGGCGAGCGGTAAGATCCATGGTGTCGTTTGGGGTGAAGCTGAATTTCCAGTCCATGAGCACTGTATCGACTTCGGTTTTAGGGTAGGTTTTGACATGCTCTAGACGAGGAGGTTTGCTTCCAAGTATAAAGGTCTTCAAGCGCAAATTATCTAAAAAAGCTGGAGTGGCCGAACTCAAGACTTGATCGACGGAGTTAATTATGGAGTCACAGAGGACAGGGGCGTAAATGGGCCAGAACTTCACTAGGAAGCTATTAATCCATTCCAAGCTCTCCGTATCGGTTTCCAGTTTGCTTTTCGCCATCTCGCGATTGATATCATCTCGGAAATTTCGTCGAACACGACGTATCGAGGTGCGGTAGTACGTTGCGCAGCCGGCCATGACTATGAACACCCATCCCAAACCTCCGCCAAGCAACGCAATTACCCATGACGCCAGGCAAGAGAAAATGATGACCGCAGTGTTATGATACCAGTCTGTTATTCAAATTTTCAGTCAGCTTACGACTCTCGTATTTTGCTAAACAGCGATCAAGGCCTGGCAATGGGATGGAACGCGACCTCCGAAAAATTTGTCATCCAGCTTTGTCTCGATGAACGTTTGGTGGTCCAAAAGTGTTTCTCCCTCATCCATGTCATCCTCGGGAATATGAAAGCGAGGAGCCCAGCCGGTCCTGTTGCGATCCCATCTGGCTGCTTCATCGAGTTCGCCGTTCGTTTCTGCGGGCTTTTCAGGTTTATCGGTGTTCATTACTTTGGGGTCTTTGCTTGATGCACTCGAAGTACCGTTGACCTAGAGAGCACATAGCTATTATCAGCTCCAGTTTCCTCCCCAGTTTCCTCCCCAGTTTCCTCCCCAGTTTCCTCCACAGTATCAAGGTTTCTAACAAGGTAGGTGAAAGAAAATGAAGACCCACTATATCCGTAGACACGCCAATGGCCTTTGTCTTGGGTTGCTTATGTATGCCTGGGGGTATCGTCTGCGCACCACGGAGCGAATTAGTAAATATCACGGGAAGCAGCGACAGGACAGAGGCGACAACAGTAGCAACTTACCGCTTCCACCTGTTCCAGTTTCTTGGATGGGGAGGCATCGGGATCGAACTGGAACGCAGGGATTCCGGCCGTTTCACTCTCCTCAACCATCTTCTGCTCGACAGCCTCAGGAGAGAGCTGGGGCTGCGGTGGCTGCTGGCTCTCCATGGCACCTTACTGCTTCAACACGGCTTTGTTCAAAGCAGTTTGCAGCAGCAGAGGGTACTGGTGTCTCTTAAGCTGGCTGGGATCGATCGGAGAAGGATTGAAACTCAAAAGGAATTCTCTTGAAAAGCTCCAACGAAGCGTAGGTGGCCGATTGGGCGTGCTCCAGCGGAACAGCGTGGACGTCCAGAGGAGTTGACGAAACGGACAGGCACTCCAAGATGGGATGGCGGTGGGAGAAGATCGCTGGTTGGTAGCTGAAGGACGATGAGCTGTCCCGTAGACAAAGCGGGTTGGCAGTAGTGCGCCCAGCCGCCGGATTGCTTTGTGCAAACGAAGCTGGGTGGTTGGTTGGGAGTGAAGTTAACTACCTGAGCATCTGTCTACGCTCTATAGCAAATGAAAAACTGGAATGAGGTTACAGGAGAATTGGACGGCTCGGAACCTGCCTTCTTTCTCTCTTGGTCGGTAATAATAGTCCACCGTCGCAGTCGAACCCGGACACAGGAAGACAAAAGTCACAAAAAGAATTTATCAACAGCCGCGTCAGGCAATCCCATCCTGCTAATAAATAAACTCCTGGCCTGGTGGAAGATCCGCCATCGTGGACAGCGACGTCGATGTTGATGGGTCCGTCCAGCAAAAATAATACACACTAATGGCAAGAGGATGAGCCCTAAATCTTCCAACAAACCGGATTCTGCACGGCATGGCAGGGATTGGAACAACCAGATTACGCATTCCAGATGTCCCAGCTCCATTCCCAGCTTCTGGTAGGGCCCATATAAACAAACAGACAAACTCCTGGAGCGGTCTACTTTTCTACTTAATTTTATCTCTGTTCCCAGGATCAATCATCGTGCAATGACAGTTATTTCATACTCAGCATCAGCAAAAATCAGATTCGAAAGGAGGGGGCCAGGATTCGACGCAAATTTCTTCCTTCGGCACCAAGACAATACAGGAATAGGTCGTCCGCGCTAACGCCTCCAGTGGCGAGCACAATGACGCTTCGACACGGGCACAAACAGCTGTCAAAGTGCGTGTGTGTTGAGGCACCTTCTCCAGCGACTTCTGCTGTGATTCTCGATCGTGGGCGTTGTGGCAAGCAAGCTCAATTCGGATGGCCATGCAGCAGAGTTGCAGGAGTTAGTTATGCAGCGGCAGTCAAACCACCTTGTCTGTCCCAGGATCCCCACGTTTGTGCATAACAAATCAACTTGGCCGAGGCAAATGAAATGCGTTAAATTGGAATGATAAATCTAGCCTCCACAGGGCATAAGGAGCGGTGGGTTGTTCGACTTTTTGCCACCTCGAAATCCAGCTGGCAAGAGGCTGTCCCACCATAGAGAGTTCTCTTTATGAAGGTGTTTCCTCAAACCCCGCCTTAAAAAGGAGCACGGAGCGGTCGCTTACCCAGCCGGGTCTCGTCCTAAAAAGCTTCGTAGAAGGAAAGGACTCTCTCCAAGGGAAACACTATTACGGGTATGATCGGGGCGGACAAGCAACTGGTGAAATTGGTAATGCGCTTGCCTGTTGATTTGATGGCTCAATCGAAAATGTGCGGGATTCCATATCGTCGTGGTTACCAGCTACGACCAGCAGATCCTTTGAAGGGGATTCTTTCAGCATCTCGACTAGCAATTTGACACGAGCATGTTCAATTTACATCCTTGACCGGCGTCGTCCAAATTGTATCTGAACAAATCCACTTTCCTCTACACCCAATTTGCAGAACCTCGTTGTTCAACCACTCCAATAAACCCATTTAGCCGCCAAGAAAATCAACTGGAATATTCGTGCATCTGCAGAAAAATCCTTGTGCGACCCGAGCTAAGTTGATCCCAGCCAGCTCCACCCCATTCGGGTCTGCGAGACCTACGTAGGACGCTGTAGAGATGTCGGAAGTTTCCCCAGCAAAATCCATCACGATTTCTCAGAATTCCCTAAACTCCTCTCCCCCTTGGACTCCCAGTTCCAAAAATTCGGCGATCAGAGATTTTCCAATGAACAGGAACAAAAGGTTAAAATTTGAAGCTGAACATGCTCGTGTCAAATTGCTAGTCGAGATCCGATGGTTCCCCCTTGCACAGTCACTTCATAATCTCACAGGGACCACATTGACTGAATCTTATCGACTCGCCACCACTCTGGCACTCGTATATTAATGATTTTTTCCTTTTTCTAGCTCCGTGTGAAATCGCCAATAGTCCCATCTACTATGGAAGTTGAACCCGCGAAGGCCAGTACGCCCAACCTATCATAGCCGGAATCGCGAAGATTGGCGCACTTGGCAAGAGAATGAGATGGACGACACGAAACTATGTAGCTCCCCATTTTTTGGGCTTCGGGTCTGTGGCTGATGAGCCTTCCTGGGCTGTCTTACGAATATACTTCACAAGGCAGGAACTAACAATAACAATGAGAATGGATTTTGCAAGTATATAAAACCAACTCAAAACGAACTCTTTTTTGGTCTCCTTTTGAAAGCCATTGTGTAGAGATGAAAGTCACAGCAAAGGTTTTAAATATCTTTCTCAGCTTGTGCCATAATGATAGAAAACATCCTTGTGGGTGTTTACGAAAGATAGATATCAATCTTTCACAAAGAAGTTGTTGTCAACATCGGTCATGAACAGGTACTTTTCCGCTGGGAGGAAAGTGACGGTGTATCACCAGTTTCTGTTCACAATGCCGAGAGTATTTCATGGAAAGAAAATCCCTTCCTTATGTCCCAAAACGGTCTTTATCATCTGGAGTGAGATGACTACGGATGAACCATCAAGTTTGACGGGCAAACGAACCAGCTCATTAATAAGAACAGGCGGAAAACAAATCCGCAGGCATTAATTACTCTTCGCTGCGATGTTAAACGCAAACGGTACAAGAAAATGGAAAAGAGAAGCATCTGAGCCCATGCCGCTTTCACGAATATTCCTCCCATTTTTTTTCACGACTTGAAAACAAAAAAAAAACGACTTGAAAACAAAAAAAAAAAAAAAAAAGGAAAGAAAGATAGAAATGGGTGTTTGGCTTTCTATGGCGTCTTTCCTAAAAACCCCATGCTGCTTGCTGGGCTGCTGGCGAACCGGATGACCTTCTCGAACCCGCTGTTTTACTTGAAAAGAAAAGGAAGCCCTCGTTTGGCGCCGCCGAAGAGTCTCTGTTCAAACAAGGTTCAGGGCTAAAGACGGACGGAGAACGGGATATGGGCGTCGCGTCAAGAGCTAGGAAGTGGTGGTCGAGACCTATCAAGATTAAGGAGTTGGAAGGGAATCTCTTATGTTTCTAACGGACACTTTAGCGGGACAGGGCAAACCTGTCTTGAGCATTGCCCGTGGACCATAACTATGTCTTTAAACAATCCATTCCTTGATGGCCTCATGCTGGGATCCCTTGCACCTGCACATACAAGTTATTGCCACACTCATTATCCATCAACCAAGCAAAAGCTCTAACCAAAGGGAACGATGAGCTCACGGACAGCAATTGAAAATCGAGAAAACGTTGCCACTTCCTATGTATTTGCACAGTCCAACATTTAATCTTTATATGTGAGAAAGAGTATCAATCATGGTCTGGATCAGCTACGCTTATGCGTGGTCATTATCCGCAACGGCCCGGCGGTTAACTAATGTTTTAACTATATTAATACTACTCCGTACTGCATCAGCAATTGGTTGGTGAACCATATTATTGGGAATATATGCGATAATTACTCCGTACATCTAGCAGATGGATTGCATGCTAACAAGATAGAATTTGATAGCTGCAAAAATTCGTTCACAAACCTCCGGGGACCAATGACGACGAACTAAAAGTCACCTGAAATGGACGGTTATCCGAGGATACTAGTAAGGAGTTACAGAATAATTTATCTCCCCACCCCCCTTTCTCGAATTTCTGCGCCAACCCTGCAGGTCCAGGAGCGCTCCTCAATTCCTTAAATTTCGCTATCCCAGGCAGAGATGTTGGCTGTCCGTTATTGATTGCACGCCACGAAGAGGCGTCACAGGTGCTCTAGACTAATAAAGTATGCTCTCCCCGAGCTACGGCGCTTCGAACGGTCCTATATAACAGAGTGGAGAGCCAACACTATACAATGAGGCTGGAATGTTTCCATTCAGCATTGGATTGCTAGATAATGCGCTGAAATGCGTCTTCGAGCAGAATACTCCTCGCCGCCGCTGGACGGCGTCGACAAGCTCGCAAAGGTCGACACATCTCCGATTTCCACAACGCTGTCAACAGAGGAACTAACACCGGAGGAAGAAAAAAAGCTCGTATGGAAGTTAGTGGAGATTCGATGCCGCTTGAATAGGAGTTGAGCTGACGGCCAAATCTCTGTATATGCGCGCAGGATTGATCGTGTCGTGCTTCCGACTCTGATGTTGGGATTTATGGTTCTGCAGCTTGACCGCGCGAACATGTATGCCCAACCCATACATTCCACCCACTTTATGCCGACTTAATAACATTCAATAGAGGAAACGCCCTCACAGACTACTTCTTCCGAGATGTTGGCATTACCCAGAACCAATTCAATACGGGCCAGCTGGTCCTTCCCCTCGCGATAATTTTAGTCGAGGTGCGCACATCCCATCTCATACTTTCCCATATTGTATACTAAACCCTAGCCCACACGTATAGATTCCTTGCAATATGATTCTATTCAGATTGGGACCAGCGATATGGATAGGGATCCAGATATTTGCGTGGTAAGCAGGACTTCTACCTCACTCCCTTCCTTTTATGTCAACTAATGGGCGGTTTCTAGGGGCACTGTGGCCACCCTACAAGCATTTCAAAAGGGATTGGCTGCGTTCTTAATAACTAGGATACTACTTGGGTATACCTTCTTTCATGCTGATATCAATCCTAGTAGTACTCAGGCTGATAAATTATCAGTATTTGCGAAGCAGGTTTTGTACCTGCTAGCCTCTACACCCTTACAACGTGGTATAAACAAAACGAGACTAGCAAGAGATTCGCTATATTTTATATTGGAAATCTATCCGCTGGTGCCACAAGTGGTTTAATAGCATACGGAATGTAAGATGGCCCGAAAATTCCCTAGCTATAGGCGCGATTACTTTTTCATATTGAAGGCACACCTGCTAACATCTCCAGACTACACATGAGAGGGATTCGTGGATTGGCAGGCTGGCAATGGCTCTTTATCGTAGGTTGTTTGTTTATGTATATTTTGGTTTATACATGGATTAATTTATTCATCAGATAGAGGGTCTACTCACCATCATTGTTGGTTTTCTGTTCATCGCTGTATTCCCGAAAGATCCTGAAAATCCAACTTCACTATTTGGGTTTCATTATTTCACAGAGAAGGAAGCAGCCTTTTTATCCCGGAGAGTTATTGCGGATGATCCCAGGAAAGCAAAAGGAGGAAACTCAATATCACTTAAACAGCTGAAAGGGGCAGTGGGTGACCATTTTAAACTAACAACTGGCAACGTAGATGCGGACGGAACTGACTGCTGCTGTCTAGTTAACGAATTGGAACATGTACCTTCATCTATTAATTACAATCGCTGGACTAGCACCTGTCTACGTATTCGGTGCCTATGCGCCCACTCTGGTCGCATCTTTTGGTTTCGAAAGACTCGTATCAAACGCTTTGGTGACTATCGGCCTATGGGCCCAGTTGGTATTGATAGTTATCTGGGGATATGTTGGGTAGGGGAACATATCTACTTTGAGTTTCTTCTTGATAAACCCGCTAGACCTGCATAATATTTATCTGACACCACCATGAAGAGATAAAACAGGGAGGCGTGGTTATGTCGTTCTTGCGGGCTCACTATGCAGTTGGGGATTTGTTGTAAGTGACTTTCCAGCAAGATAATTTCAAGCCATGTGATAGAGCGTGTCTTATTCCTGTAGCTTGGATGCAGGATACTCGTTCGATCTCTAAATGGCCATCTGCGATTCGCACTTCTCACCCTCGCCATCGCCTTCTGTGCCGTATGGCGTAAGTACCTTCAAAACTCCCTGCTCCTAGGTCCCAACCAACTGCAGCAGGACAGCTCGCTAACTGGTGACCGGAACAGAGCCCGTCAATGCTTCTTGGATGACTATGAATAGCCGTTCACCAGAAGAAAGATCCATTGCACTGGCAATGTTTACGATGGCGACGAATTTAGCTGGCATTGTTAGTAGCCACGTTTTCCAGGAAAACGATCGACCATTGTACGTGGTGGGGTGGAATGTAAATATTTGCCTGATATCCGCGCATGTTGCGATTGTTATTGGGACAATTCTGCGGTATATGATGCTGAATCGTAAATATAAAAGGGGAGGGAGGTCGGGAGAATCATACACTTATTAAATAGATGAAGCATCGTGCTGGCTCTGTGAAATTTCCAATGGTCTCATTTTGCATAGATTCAAGAGTTCGTTACATTGTTCGCTACTTCCCTGATTTCAGTACATGACACAGATTCCCTCGAAGCAAACTGTGCCCAATACCAGCTACAACAAGCTTCAGAGGCCAATCCCAGTTAGTGTTCTATTTGTTTTGCATAGGATGGGCTGGGATTTCACAGATTCCCATGTTGTATTGCCTGTCGACGACGAATGCATCTTCATGCTGTGCCGTATCAGAGATCAAAACCGTGGATGGGGCAAAAGTGGTTACTGTCAAACATCATGCATCCTCTCTTCCCCCCTTTTTCAGGAAAGGTGAAGGAAGTACATTCAAATAATGAGGGAAAATTATGCGGTTTCACATCCAAAATAACCCTCTTGGAAAAAACAGCGATAAGCCCGAAGACCACTTTTCCACACAGGAAGTCATGGTTGAATGGCGGCGAGATGCTATTTTCATCATGAAGAACTGAAAAACCAGATGAGCCAGTTCATTGAAGCTCCATGATTAGGGAATCCAAAGGAAAATTGCAGGGACAGCTGATGTAGGCATCACGGATGGTATGAAGGAATCGATCAATAGGTGTGCCTGTTCTACTGATGTAACTTCTTTCGCTATGCAACGGTGTCGAATGCATGAACTAAAAAGAATTTATTTCCATTAATTTTTTTTTGAGACTACTACTATGGTATCGACTGAAAACTTCAAATGAGAACGCTCCAAGGATGCAAAAGTTAAAACGAAAATATTAAAAGGTCGCACGGTTCAAAAGATTTGGTTATCAGCTCACCTACCTCGTTACATTCCACCTCCAATTTCAGGGGTAAGCAGTTGCGTGATACTCTGATCGTTAGATTTTGGTCTTCCGGCTCAGATGTTAAGCAAACAGAACGTAAAGAACATTAATAATATATCGTATCGGTCACATTCTGTACGAGCATCTAAACACTACTAACGTGGGTTATAGATGGAATACGTCATATCTATCTTCCAACACGGATGACGCCTGCGGCCACCAGTTTCTGAATCTTCATTCGGACGCCTGGATTCTTCATGTGTTCCTGCAGCGCAGCCGGGTCGCCCTTGGCTTGTTGGAGTATAGTCTGCATAACAGGATCTTGAAGAATGGACATAATCTAGATAATCAAGAGTACGGTTAGCGGTTTTGAATCACTTTTAATACTATAATAGAGTTGCGCCAAACCGCGATAATGGTAAGAAATGGGAAATCATACCTCAGGATCGCGCTGAATTCTCTCGGCAGTTTGCTCTTCGGTTTCACCCGCACGAGCGCTGAACTGGGCCTCCAACGCCTTTTGTTGCTGTTGGTCGATCTCACGGGCATGGGCGCCGGTTTCGTCATGTTCAGTCGCTTCAGCACACACGTCCATACATTTGTTATATTCTTTCATGGCAAAAAGAGCTTGTGCTTTCCTCAGATATGCACGAATAAATTTCGGGTCTCTCTTAATGGCTTCGTCACAATCTTGAACAGCTCCCGGGAGGGCCATTAGCTTGATCAAAGCTGCAGCACGGTTGCTATATCCCCGTGGGTCATCAGGCGCCCGCTTCGTCATCTCAGTGTAAGCATCAACGGCAGCTGGCCAGTCCGCCTCTTTGAACTTTTGATTACCTAGCTCTCTTGCCTTCTCAGCCTCTTCGGGGTTGATGTAGGATTCTTTCTCAGCCTTGATTTTAGCTTTCTCGGCGTTTCGAAGCTTGGCCAAGATATCCGGCGTACGGTGTTCCGTCAAAGACTTCTGGTAATTCACGATAGCGTTTGCAAGATCTCCCATCTTCTCGTAAGAGGTTCCAATTCTTCCGAATGCCCTATTACAATACTGTCAGTGATGCTCGTTCAGATGTTTGGGCTAGTCTTGACTTCGACTTACTTCGCAATGATCTTAAAATCCGCCAACATTTCTCTACCCTCCAAGATTGCCTTCTCGCAAATTTCAATTGCTCCTTGATAGTCACCCTTCTCAAATCTGGCAGCGCCAATATTAGTAAGGTATGTGATATCCTTATTCAGTTCCCAAGCTTTGCTATAATGCTCAATCGCATCGTCAAATTGCCGTTTCTTGTAGCTTTCTGTACCAAGCTGCTTTTCTTTGTCACCGGCTTCCTTGGCCTTCCGCTTCGCAATGGCTTCCTCGTCCTCGGGTTCAGGTTCAGGTTCAGGCTCGGGGGCTTTCTTAGGTTGTGGCGCATCGGCCATTTTGATATCCTCCTCTGGTTCCTTAGCGGAACCACCAGCCTCTGGGGGAGGAGCAAACGACATGTCGATACCAAGCAATACGCTCATTACCTGGAGGAATCTTGGGTCTCTCATCTCTTCTCCGATATTGCTCGGATTATTTTTCAGTCGTTGAAGCTTTGCCATGAATTCCGGATCGGCCAACAGAGCGGAGGTTTTGGGATTCGAGGCGAGTTTTGTGATAAGTTGGGGGTCATTAAACATGCTTCCAAGGCCGCCGGAAGGGTCCCCACCCAGGCCATCCGCTCTCGCTTCAGCATCAATTGCACGTTTAACAGATTCGAGCCCGGCTTTCGCTTGCGCATTGGAAGGGTCCAATTTGAGCGCCTGCTCATATGCATCATTCGCGCCAACTGAGTGAGTTCTTGTTAGCTCCTACCGGTCCAGGGAATAACCTCAAAATGGTGGAATAAATCATGTGGACGTACCCAGATCACCCAGTCCATGCAACGCAGCTCCCTTCCGGCCCCAACCCTTCACCCAGTCTGCTTTTAGCTCGGTTGTTTTATTTGCATCTTCAAGCGCCTTCTGGAAGTTCTTGAGGGAGGCATAAGCACCAGAGCGGTTGGAATACAAAACATGGTTCTCCGGCTCAATGGCGATAGCCTCGGAGAATTTCTCACTGTATCGAGTTCGATTAGCAAAGTGTACCATAACTCCAGCTTCTGAGCAGCGGGAACTAGTATTTAGGGACTTACACGGCCAAATCGAAGTCCTTCGCTGCGAAGGCCTTGTTGCCCTCCGCCTTCAGAGCATCAGCCATTATTATATTACAGGCAAGCGGTATAGGAATGGGGGAATATTCAATGGAGACGCTATACGGCAACAAGTAGAAGAAATGTTGGTTGGCGGGAGGGAGAAACAGAAAATGACAAAGAAGCGGGGGAAATGCTGGGGATTTGTTTAGGATCACAAGCTTCTGGAAATTTCGAGCTCAATCGTACGGCTCCGAACAGCGTAATGGGCGGGTGACCTTGGATGCCACGTAATTTTTCATGGGGACTGAAGTACTTCCCAGTATATTACTGTATCCAATACCGTATTTAATTTACCACAACTTGGATCTTGAAATATCGCCGAATTTAGCCATATGACATCCCACATCATCATTGAAAAAAAATAAAAAAAAATAAAAAAAAAAAATAAGTTACAACTTTTCGCATCAAAGGTAGCACACTCCCTTGACCGGAGAAACATCTTTTGGGCCACTTGTGTTCTATACTCATAGTTGGGTGGATATCGGATGGCGGATCACTGTCAGACTCTGACTCTTTCAGAACCACCACAGTGATCCGATCTGGAGCACCGTCATCCCATTTTTGAGAAGATGTCCGCCTCTGCAGGTGGTTCCTCGAAAAGGGCTGGGACAGCAGAGCATAAGGAACTGGCATCCGCCCTCTATGCTCGATGTCTTTCCAATTTCCCGCCCGACCATTTATTCTACCAGCAAGATCTGGTCGGTCTGGGTATTATCCCCAATAATGACCTTTCCTTGTTGATGAAATGCGCCCAATCACTCGTGGATCAGAGCTTGATGCGTATGCTCTATGGAAACGACGACCGTCTTGCTTGGAAAATCATTGCGCAATCAGATGCTGAAAAGTAAGTATATGACTCTAGCTTTTTGCCGGGCGGATGAAATATGTAACTAATTCTCCTGCACAATAAAAGACTCCAAAACCTCAATGCCGAAGAACGTCTTATATACAGTGTGGTCGAATCAACGGGCCGTAGCGGCGTTTGGACACGAACTATCAAATCGCGGACGAATCTCCATCAGACAATTGTGAACCGATGCCTCAAATCGCTCGAGACGAAAAACTACATTAAATCTGTCCGCAATGTTAAATATCCGCAAAGGAAAATGTACATGCTGTCTGGCCTGCAACCAAGCGAAGATGTCACAGGCGGCGCGTGGTTCACAGATGGAGTTCTCGATTCTGATTTCATCCGTGGGTTAGGAGGCTGGATTGAACACTGGGTGAGCTCGCGGAGCTGGTACGACCGCGGCGCAGCAGAACGTAAGGCCAAGAGACAAAAGATTCGTCCAGATAATAATACGAAGGGGGAACCCCAATATCTACCCTATCTCCCGTCATACAACGGATACCCTACCGTTAGCGATATCACCAACGCCATCAACAACTCCGGCCTGACTCCGGTCACGATGGGCGAATCTAGCATTGCACAGCTACTCGAAATGCTCTGCTTTGATGGGAAACTAATTTCTCTCCGTGACGGGGCCGCCTATAAAAGCGTAAAGAAACCCAACCAGATATCCCTGCAGCGCGACCTGGGCCTACAAACCGGCGACCAAACCGACCAGGACAAGGCAGATCAGGATAACCTTACGCTTGGCGGAAACGGCATGACGGAGGCTCCCTGCGGACGATGTCCTGTATTCGCACTGTGTGAGGAAGGCGGGCCTGTCAATGCAGAGAATTGCGAATACTTCGATGCATGGATTAAGAAATCTTTGGCGTTTTGAACATGGAGGAGGATCTTGAGAACCCTCCATGTTTTTCGGGAACCCTCCATGTTTTTCGTTGTACATGTACCTCTCACCAGCTGTTAGCCGCGACCCTTAAATTCTCTGCTATCATCTCCCGATATACGATTTGCCATCAGCTTCCCTAACTTCCGACGGCAACAGTGGGACATCAAGAGAGATATAAAACCGCACGAAGAATTGCCACTTATACCAACCAATACTTGTATGATATATTCCCGTATATCATTATGTATCATAGCATAGCGATGGCGTTTTTATGGGCGTTTCTATTCTTTTTTCTCTTCATTATATTGCCAGAAAAATGTAAAAACGATTTCACCGCTGGAGAAGAGAGAGGAGCAGATCGCAATTTGAATATTTTAATAGTTGTTAGTTTATTTCGTTGCCTTGCTATATATCATGGATATCTCTACATATGATATATCGTATCATAACAAAGAGATAACGAAATGCAAATGATATGAAGTCCCTGAAGGAAAAAACCTGGTCTACATTTTCCAAATTTCATAGAGACACACAACTTATATAACCGGTCCACCACTCAATAATGATAGACTCAAAACGAATCCCTGTTCCTGAACTTCCTTACTTCCCCAAATTCTTCCTACACTCCTCACAATACCAAGTCCCCAACGGCTCCCTCGTCAACCCGACACACTTCCAATGAAACCACTCATACGGACAATCTTCATTATCACACGCCACCATATCCCCATGACTAACACTGCGACACGTACAATAAGTCTTCATATCCTCCCCGCCCTCATCTTCCTCCTCTGATTCCCCTTCCTCCTCTGATTCCCCATCGGCCGCCCGGGCCGCGCCTCCACTCCGCTTCGACAGTGGCGGGTTATTCTCCGTTTCCGAAACCTCGGCGCTGCTAAGGACAGATTCATCCTCTTCCTCCTCCGCCAAGCCTGTAACAGACGAAGGAGATTTCTTCCTTGACGTAGCTGCAGATGCAGCAACGTTCCCCGGAAGGGATTTTAACCGACCGTTCCCACTGGAGGAGCGCTTTGTGGATTTTCCGATTGCGGAGGATTTCCGTCGCGCCTGCTGTTGGTGCGGGGCTACTTTCTTTGATGGAGGTTTTTTCACGGCTGTTGTGGTGCGAGGTCCTGCACTACCTGCACGGGAAGCCCCTGGGGTTCCGGGTTTGGGTGTGCCAGGCCCAAGGGATGATTGGCGTAGGTTCGACGAAGCTGCAGGGAGCGTGCCGACTGATGAATTTAGACGTCTACGTTTGTTGTCCGCAGCCCCGGCGGAGGATTCCCGATGGCGGTGTTGGAGATGCAACGCAGCAGAGGCAGGGGTGGCTGGTGCGGAATTTCGCGCGATGGTCTGCGACGCGGCGAGGCCGGCGCTAGATGACGAACGACCAGCGACGCTGTTTAGTCTTTGTGACTGTCCGTATTGCCCTGTTGAATTTCCAGAAGTTGGGTTTAAGGGCGAGGCGTATGGTGTTTCTGCGGACGCGGATTCAGGAAACAATGGTTTTTGTGGCTCGCAATATTGGTCCTTATTTCGGAAGAGGGAAGGGATGGGCGGGTCTTTCGATAGGACTCCATCGTTTTGCAGCTCTCTGATCTTCAAGTCTAATTTCTTGATTTGGCGATCGAGTAACACGCACGCCTTCTCACTCAGAAGGATCTTTTCATCCTGTAGTACCTGGCTCCGATCCAGATTCTGTAATATGATTCTGCTGTAGCTGTCTTCCTTGGGGTTCGGTGCATGGCTACCATTTTGTCTGATGAATTTCTGTAGGCTCATGTCACGAGAATTTATCGTAGCGCGACAATCTTGCATTATCTTATCCTTGGCTTGGATCTCTTCCATCAAATGAGTGATCTCCGCGGGTAGGTTCGCGACTGTATCAGGCGTTTGTTCGTTAGTGCAAGCTGGAAATGAGATTATTCAGATAACTCTTACCATCATGAATGAACTGTTCCAGCACAGTGGAACAATCTTCTGTATGAGCCATATTCACTCATTCACTAGTAAGGAGGATTCACTAGTAAGGAGGGACACTCGGATATCGATATGGTAGGGATGTCGCAGTTCGGAGTTTTGCCACCAAGACTATCGATATGAGATTCTGACAGCACGGACCGTGACTCGCGGTGGTTGCAAATAATTTCAAGGAGCGATCTGACCTCCCTGCCAGGCACAGCTACAGGGACGCGGTAGGGTGGTGCAGGTATCGATGGTGTTGAAACGGTTGATGGAAGATGCAAGAACAAATGACGAAGGAATCGCAAAACCGAGATCTTGTCCCAAAGGAGACTAGTCCCATCACGTGCAGAGCACAAACCACCCACGGCCTTTCCTTGGCAAAACTCGCCACAATCAGGCGCGGCGACACTAGCTGCATTCGGAATAGTCTCCGGTGGCGCTGTTTCTGGGCCTTTCTCACATGATTGGATCTCGATTCGATGTCAAACCTCCTGCGACGAACAACCTCAACGGCAACCCAAGTTGATGCGCATATCATTGATATTACATAGCAACATTTGGGGGACATCCCCTTTACTGCGGTATTCCAGGGATTAGTGGGTTCGATCATGATAAGATTCCCAAGACTCAGACACCCCCCATTCCTATGACTTTGAAATATTCCTTCCCATGGCCAGATCAACGATTGTCCAGGAATATGCTTCCCCAGCGGTCGCCCAAACATCGCTATCACTGGACCGGAAGACGGCGCGTGAAGTTGAGAATGAAGGCTTCAAGCGCCCAAAGGGATACACGGTCTCGTGGCACGCAAACCCTGACGTTGAGCCGCATCACTTTGGCTCGTCACATCCAATGAAACCATGGCGACTCACTCTAACGAAGCAGATCGTCATGGCCTACGGCATGCACCATGCCATGGACCTGTACAAAACGCGCGAGGCGACATACGAGGAGATGGCCGAATTCCACAGTCCAGAATATCTAGATTTTCTCCAAACCGTCATCCCCTCAGACATGGAAAATACAGCTCTCAATGACCGCATGGCCGGCTTCAATTTTGGCGACGACTGCCCAGTCTTCGACGGCCTCTACAACTACTGCTCTCACTACGCAGGCGGCACGCTTGATGCCGCGCGCAAGCTCTGCAACAACCAATCCGAAATCGCCATCAACTGGTCCGGCGGCCTCCACCACGCCAAAAAATCCGAAGCCAGCGGCTTCTGCTACATTAACGACATCGTCCTGGGCATCCTCCAGCTCCTCCGCCTGCACCCGCGCGTCATGTATATCGACATAGATGTGCACCACGGCGACGGCGTCGAGCAAGCCTTCTGGTCCACAGACCGTGTCCTCACAGTCTCCTTCCACAAATACGACAAGGACAACTTCTTCCCCGGCACCGGCGGGCTGGACGACACGGGGCCCTCCAACCCCTTCAACCCGGGCGCGCACCATGCGCTCAACGTGCCCCTCCACGACGGTATAGAAGACGCCGAGTACGTCTCACTCTTCAAATCCATCATCGGCCCGTGCATCCGCACCTACCAGCCCGGCGCCATCATCCTGCAATGCGGCGCGGACAGCCTTGGCTGCGACCGCCTGGGCTGCTTCAACCTCAACATCCGCGCACACGGCGCATGCGTCGCATACACAAAGACGTTCAACCTGCCGACTCTCGTCGTAGGCGGCGGCGGCTACACGCCGCGCAACGTCTCGCGGCTCTGGGCGTACGAAACCGCCATCTGCATCGACGGCGCCACAGACATCAACCCGCAACTGCCCGACTCGCTGCCCTTCCGCAGCCATTTCAAGCCGGACTGCTCGCTGTTCCCGCCGCTGTCGGACATGCGCAGGCTGGAGAACCGGAACTCGAAAGCGTACCTGGAGTCCGTGACGCAAGCGGTGCTGGAGCAGCTACGCTACATCAAGGGCGCGCCAAGCGTGCAGATGCGCCATATCCCGCCGGATATTATGGGACTGCGGGAGGACATAGAAAAGGAAATCGAGGCGGAAAAGGAAATGATGGAGGCGGAGCAGGAGGAAAGGGCTGGGGCTGGCAGTAATGGAGGCAAGTGGAGTCGGAGGAAAGATTTGGAGAAAGGGTTGGGGGTAAGGGGGGAGCTATATACTTGAGTCTCGTTTCCTCCGGGTCATGCATGAGGCCCCTTTGTTTTTGGCCTCTCTGTGTCTCTTTTCTTTTTCTTGGGTTGGGAAATCTAGGATGGTATTGTCTTTACGTTTTAATTCCCCCACTTCGTCCATATCTCTGTTTAGATTTAGATATATGTCGTTTTTGTATCTTGTGTCCATAGTGTGGTAGGATGGTGTTGGAATTGGAGTTATTTTATTTTATTCTATCTATTGTACAGGAGTTTCCCGACGGATCATTTTATTTTATATTTTACTTTTTCCCCCTTTCTACATCCTCGTTAAGTATACTCCTCAGCAGCCCGATGAATAATGAATGGCCCTGGAGTTTCTCTTGATTCTCTACACTGCCCGCTTCCAATAACTTACGCTCACATTCTGCTAACATTGCATCATTTCTGCTCTTCTCAGGACAAATCCTTAGTTAATCAATTTCCCTCCTGTGATAAAAAAATAAAATTTTCTATTTTATGAAGGTATATTAATAACGAATGAAAATTATGCAAAAGACATTAAATCCATACCTGGGTAGGTACATACGTAAATACAAATAAGGAAAACAAAATAGCAAGGTAGAGTAAACAACCACAACTTGTTGAAAAGTGGTTCAAAAAATAAAATCAAAAAAAAAAAAAAAAAAAAAAAGAGGGGGTGGGCGACGCACTCACTACCTTCTATTAGTGAGTGCACCCCATTGCAAAGGTAATATCACTGCAATGGTAATATTTTTGAATCATCTGAACTTCAAAATATCATTATTATTCAACATCACATCTATTTATAATATAAAGATCATCTATATACTCAGTAGAGGCAGTAGAATCTGCAGCAGGTTGAGATTCATTAGATTTATCATGTTGTGATTGATTTGCAGCAGTTCTATTATACTTGATTCCAATCATCTGAAGAGTTTTATTATACTTCTTATTCAACTCCTTTGTCTTCTGATTTGCAATCTTGCAATTTGCATTCTTTATAGTGAGGATTTTATCTACTTGCATCTGTCTGTGTGTGCTTTTAACAATCTGATATCTATTCATTTGATAATGATCAATTAATTTCTCCCTTCAGTGCATATTCAGTTTTGTCTACATCATACTACTTTTGAATATCTTATTTAATTGTCTGATTAAGTCAAATGTAAAAGTGTTCTTCACATTTTGTATAATCTTCTCTACAGCATCAATTTGACAATGGAATTTTGTAACTGTGTTAAAAAAATATTAATTGAGAAGAAGCAGTTGACAGTTAATTTGTGAATAATAAAGTAAATTGATCACATTTCTCATCATCTTCATCATACACAAGCAGATTTGAGCCATTCTATAAAGTGTGAGATTTCAATTGATTGAATATTACTTCACAATTAATAGAGTAGATTCTGTGGTCTGCAAAGCCAGCTTTAATAATGACAGATTTGAAGATTTGCTGATGAATGCTATGCAGATTAACAAGAAATTATCTCTCATTATATTGTTTATATCTGTAGCAGACAGCCTCATTAATTGCTTTTATATGATAGTGTTTATACTGTTGAAAAGGCACATCATCAAGAGATTGCAATATATGACTCGTATAAGAAAGGAGTTCAAAAACAACAATTTTATGAAGGTCACAATATGGAAAAAATTCTTCAGTGAAATGAAATCTGTGATTGTCAAGTAGTAATAATCAATGACTGCTCAGCTGGCATTTCTTATTCATTATATTGAAATATTTAATTCATTCAAATATAATCCCATCATTAATAAAGCTTGATCCAGATGTGATTATTATATAATTGCTAAATAAATTGATGTCTGTATATTAATTTTTTAGATGAATTTTTAATCTCATTATAATCAGTGAATATAGAACTATGCTATCTGCACTCACACATTTCAACACAGTTATTAATCTGTGAAAATATGAAGATTGTATGACAGAGTTCACATCTTGATAAGCAGTTATAACCCACTGCCTGTGTCCCTCTTCTTCTTGGAACTCAATCTCATCAAAGTTATAAACATCATATACATGGAAGTTGTATTGATTGAATATAGATTCATAGTGATTGAATCAATTGATGATGAAGCTTATATTCTCACTAGACACTCATTTTGAATCCATTGGCTTCTGCTTCACTTTATTATACCCTGGCAGACATTTTGTGAATCGATATGCCCACATCTTGCCCACAGTAGGAGGAGAGATGTCAGAATTGAGATGATGAAGCTTCAACATTCAATTCACAGCAGCTTCAATATGCTCAATGATGGGAGGGTAAAAATTACTATCCAACTGTATTATCCTCTTCTTAAGAGCCTCCTCCTGACTGTCATTCAATATTCGATTGATTGGAATCCTTGTTGTCCTTGATTTCCTTCCTTTAATCCACCCAACCAAGGTTGGAATTTCAAATTCTCGCGCCACATTCGTGATTTTCAATTTTGGATTCAATTTTAATGTGTCAATGGCCTTTTGAAGCTGATCTTCAGTGTATTTAGATGATTTAGGCATGGTTGTGATGATTAATGAATATTTGAAGTTGAAGAATGATGAGAATTAAAAATATTACCGTTGCGGTGATATTACCTTTGCGGTGGGGCGCACTCACTAATGGGAGGTAGTGAGTGCGCTTGGCACGGTTAGGAGTTTTTCTTTTCCTTTCTCGCTTATTCTGTTTTTATCTCCCTTTCGTTGTCAGAAAAGGGAAAGTATTTCCCAAACAGAAGATCAACAACCATTAACTGGGACAAAAACCGTGATTATGTCCTGGACAAAGCCCATGTCCAATAATGCCAATGCCAATGCTGATAAGAATAAGGACAAACAATAACAACAATCATCACCATTACGATCCATCACGAAAGGAAGAGAAAACAAACAATAATAACATGCAGAGGCTGAGGTGAGGCTGGCCTACCTAGTCCAGACGAATATGGTTATGTATATTCGAATTCTCTCCAAAAACCCCCCAGGATCCCTCTCTTTCCTGTCTTTCCTTTCCCCCTCTTCCCCGCAAGAACAACAAATCAAGGAAACGAAACATATCAAAGGGAACTGCCAAATCAGAACGGGACAAAACTCCAGACGCTCATCCCAACCCCAGCGCCGCTGACCGTTCTAGAATCAATCTTTTTTTGCCCTCTCTTTTTCTCTCCCCCGCTTTGATTTCTTTTCTTTTCTTTTTTTCCGTAGGAAACAATTAGGCCGGCCGGCCGGTGGTGGTGGGTTGCTAGGGTTTTTTGTTTGTTTGTTTTTTCTCGGATGAGACAGGTGGGATGGCAAATAATATATCGTATAGGCTCTAGAGGGATGCGCGGCTTCCAGACAAATAAACTTGCAAGGGTACAGTTATCGGTTAGGCGGCGAGTAGAGTTATTAGTTGATTATGGCATAAAGGGACTTTCTCCGTTTCAAAGTTGACAATGCAGGTGAAAATTTTCAAAGAAAGTTCAATTATAGATTGAGTGAGAATTAGGCTGAGAAAAACGAAGAGCAAGGTGGAAGTTCGAAGGAGGCGAAAGTTACGAGGGAGAAGGAAGAAATTGGGATCCTGTTTTACCCCACCTATTTAACTTTGCGCTCCAACGAAGTCGCCATTATCTGAGGCGGCGGAATTGCGACTGTGCAGCGATCGGGTTTGTGCCGGGCTGCTTGTGGGCTGCAGTGGTGTCATGATATTTGCCATGTTTGGGGGATGATAGTTTGAGGACGGGGAAGCTTGGGCATGAGTGTCATCTTGGCCGTCTCCGCCCAAGATATCCATGGAGCCCACTGATGGTCCTGCTGATTTCAAGATCTTGTTCTCATCGGACTGCCCGTTGTTATTACCTTCGTCAAAGTCTATGAGGTTGCTAGTATTATTCTGTTGGGTGGCGTGTGTTTCTGCAGTCATTTTTGCTAGTTGGCCTGATGAGGAGGCTTTTTCTGACTTATGTGATCGCGATGACGAATGGGGTGGTATTTCAAATTGACAGTGAGGCTTTTGACCTGGGAGAATTGCTGCAACAGATAGGATCTGTTGTTCGGCTACAGTCGGGTTATATGGGTTTCTATTGGGTGAAGAAGGTTAGGCATAAAGGGCAAGAGCATGACTTGAGTCCACTGATGAAAGATTTTCAACATACATTTTCGCATTCAGAATCCACTCAAGATCCTCTTCGCCTTCCCCAGGTCCCTGCGGTCTGCCTTGAACTGTGCGGAAAAGTTTGGGCCGCCATTCGACTCCATCTTCTAGCCTCTTTGATGCCTCAACCCGCTGCATCTCTTCAATCTTAGTTTTCTCTTCCGTAGCAAGGTCATGGTTCCTAGCAATTAACGCTTGGACTGTGCTATTCCAAAGTCTTTGCGATTCATGTGGCTCCTGCTCTTCTAATGGTCTGACAAGAGGAGGCGTGTGTTTCGCATTTGTCGCATTGAAAAGAAGCTCCTTTTGTCCACTCTATGTACTCAGTTAGTCACAAAAACGCTGAACCAAAAAGGGGGAAATGGAAAAGGATGTGCGCTTCAATGCACATACAGCAACCCTTTTTATGAACATCTCGCCGTTCCAAAGCCCGGATAGTTCATAAAGTATCTCACCGGTTCTGTCATCTCTTATCATTCCTCCTATGGCATTGTAGGTGCCGGAAAAATAACCTTTGGTTTTGAACTCGATGTCCGCCGATAAATTATTCTCGGGGCATCTTATAACGCTATGATCTCCTAGTTCATACTTCATTTTGCCCCACAGAATACCTCGAGCATACATATTCGGTTGGGTCACGATGCTGCAAGATTACCAGATTAGTTAGCAAAGCAAAGTAACGATATAGATAGCTGTCGGAATTTTTAACGTTTCAACATACTATCTTTCACCTTTCCCAGGTTCACCCCTATTCAGGAAGGATAATATCGCTATCCCTTCCATCATACTTGCAGCGGAATTCCCCAAAAATTTACTCCGCGGCTTCAAAGTACCGTCGATTCGTATATGATGTTCAGGGGCCATGAAAAAGTAACTCGACTTGGGGGGATGGTGGGAAGTCTGCTCGGAAATGTAGTAGCTCCGGGTGCCATCCTCGTAATCCCAATAGCAAGTAAAAGTTTCTCCTAGGATCGGATTCAATGGCTTTTTAACACCCCTAGCGTCATTAAAACCCATCCACACATTGTCAATATTAGCGACAGCAATTTGTGTTTGTTGTTGAAGGTATATAACTAAATATCACGATCAGGACGTACGGAGGTTTTATGTGCCATCCACTGAGGTAGAATCTAACCACGGACACGAATCGTTGGACAGGGTCATCTATTTCGGGCATTGGAAGGAGCGTTTCGGGGTGGGCCATGAAACTATGCATAGGTATTTTGTCATCAGTTATTTGATCAATCTTCCTCTGCGATGTATATGTTATGGATAAAATCTAGCAACGCACTTCGTGATCCGTTCGAGCATCGATCGAGGCTCCAGTATGAAGGTAGGAAGCGTGACTCTGCCAAGGTCCGCACCGGGCCGCAATTGCGAAATTATATGAGTCAGGACTAAAGAATTGATCCAAGAAATAAAGAAAAATTAGTATCTAATCCTTGATATATCAACTGGCATATCCTGCGGGGGAAGTAATAGAGGGGCGGGGATGTGTGGCGGCGAGAAGGCCGTGGCATAAATAACCAAATTACTCTGGAATGGAACTCACCATTGCCTTGTTCCGGCTCCACCGCCGTCTCATCCTCTGCATTTGGCGAAGAGCCACCGCTCGACTCATCGAGGGACGAGACGCTATCTACATAGACGCAAAGTTGCGAAATTGAGTGTGTGGTTAGCAGTCAATTTCCGCACGTCGAAGCTGTAATGGCGCCGGAGATTCCGGCAGTTTATTGAAAAACAAAGCAGCAGCAATCATATAGACCTCGGAATGTTCATGACGCACTATTTTTTGAGGACCTTGAATGGCTCTGCTGGTGGACCAAGGGGATTTTTGGGAGCATCTCTGCAGTATTCCTTTTCTAGACACTGCGCCTATTCCTTTTTGCTTCCCTTTTTTTTTTTTTTTTTTCCTCTATCTCTTTTTCAGATTTTATGGCTATTTTAATTAGCCGTCCTTTGGGGGATCTCTCGCGGAACCCCTCGAGGGGAAAAGGAACAATTGGAGAGGATGAAAGGAGCTGCCGGATGTTCCTCAAGTCAAGATATCGACGATGGGCAGCAGTGAATAATGGATTGGTATGAATGGCTACCGAAGGAGGGGGTTCGGAGAATAAAAAATAAATAAGTAAATAAATAAATAAAAATAAAAATGAGCTGTGGGTTTTGGGCGCAAAATAATAGATAAGAATATACTAGTATAGTTCAGCAAGGCCACCAACAACCAACAACCAACAACCAACGCTTGGGGCTCAAGACATGGAGTTACCGGACAAGGAGAGACGAGGTCAACTAGGGCAGACGGACAAAGGGGCGTCACAGGCTACTCGAATGCATGAAGCTGGACGAGGAGAGAGCGGGCAGTCAGAACCACGCAAGCAGAAAACAGAGCGCAGAGCCAGGTGTGTCTCTTCTCATTTCATGTCGCAGCCGGCAAGTATGACGGAACCCTTGGTGTGTGCGCCAAGCACCGGACCAGCAAGCCATCATCCCCATCACGTCAGCCAAAACCTCGCCGGATTTGCTCCAAAATGGTTGGGCCCGCCTTCTGTTGGTGCTCTCCCCGCCGCAGCCCGCGCACAAAAGCTTGCTTGTTAGGGTTAAGCCACTGGCTTAGTGTGGCCCGTCAGGGGCTTCTGGAAGGATCTGGATTCCGCATTTAATTCAATAATGTTTGACTCTCATCTCGGCACGACGTAAAATCTGTTGTTCTATTCCTCTTCCCCTGTCGACTTGCCCCTCCTGGTTTCTCTTGTTTTCCCGTCTCTGTTTACCCCACTAAGAGCTCGCGAAGGTTTCAAATGGCTTTTGGATATATCATTACGCAATAGAGCTTATCCGCGGCTTTTCTTTTTCTGGCCAGTGAGATGTGGCTTTCTAAGTACAAGGGATTGTCCGCCTGATACCCCCCAACGCCTCCCCTCGATTCTTCGTCCTTCCAATGCTTGTTATTTGATCGTAGCCTCGATTCGCTATCAAGATATATCTACGAATATTCGTTCTTTTCCTTCCGGGATTCTACACCACGCACATGCACCGCGACCTGGCATTATTGTCGTTTTCATGATAGGAGGAGCTGGAAGACGCTGATGTCTTTGTACGGTCCTTCCTCAATCGAGAGTGAGGGAATTATCGGGAGATGAATAGGAGTGGTTGAAAGACAGGTCCAATCTGGAGGAAGAGGGTGTGGAGCAATGTTATATTATGGTACGTTACTGTTTACGATAAAAACGAGCATTCTACCTACGTTGTCTGTCTAAAGCAGAATAAGTGGCATGAGGGAGGGGGGGGAGAGGAATCATCGTCATAAATCATCAAACCCGGAAACCATTTCATCATACATCGCGTATGGGTGCGTCGCCGTTGGTTATCTCGTGGAGAAATAATGGATCTGGCTGGTAGAGCATGACGTGGAAGTGCTCAATGGCATGTATGGATTTCAGAGACTTCCAGTTTTTAAACCATATCACCTATTATGTTTCATACGATGGTTAGCAGGAAGCAAGAACTCCGACGTTTGCCATAAGAAGAGAGGGAGAGGATGAAATGGAAAGACACATTGGAAGAGTTTTGAGGTGGGCAGGGAGGGAGAAGAGTAGGGGGATGTTTCCGCTCTCCCACACCTTCTCAGCTGGCATTCTGGATCGAAACGTTTTCCCAACAAACTCGTCAATCTCCCTTCTCATGCGCGGAGTCAAGTCATCCGTGGCAGGGTCATCTTCTAATTCAAATTTGGTCCAGACGACGAGGTGGACGATGTCCTTCTCAACTCCATAGGGCCAGTCATTGTAGAGGATCTTGATGTTGCCTATATGCGCCAAAAGAGAGAATTTTGCGCAGATTCGGATTCCAAGTCAGTAAGTCCCAAGAAGAAAAATAGAAGAAATTTCTGTATCCCTCCGTGCAATGAACGGGCGAAAAGGAGGGACAAAAGACGGCATAGAAATGGGAGGCGAGGGAGGGAAAGAGATATTTACCCGGATGCTGAAACGGTGCAGTCCCTCGTGCTTCTAAATCGCCCACCCAACGCAGCCTCTTCTGAACCACAAAATCCAAAACGGAACCATATATTGCTTTAATCTTTGCAATATACTCCAAGTACCTCCTTAAATCTGAGGGCCAGCGCTGGAGAAGATGTATTTGATTCGATCCTAGTTTGATTTAAAGCCGGGTATATTAGTCCCCGTTCTTTAATACAGCCAACAAATAAGCAATGTTATTCTTTGCTTTCGTATTTCCATTTCTTTTTTAATCCACCGATTTATAATACAACGAAGAGAATAAACACCCACCAACTATCTCCTTCACAAGGTCCCAGCTCTGCGGCTTAAACTGCGCATCAGGCGTTGAAAGGGACTTTATAGACTTCTGAGGTAGATTGCGGAGGTATTCTGGACACTCAGATGGCCATTGTGATCGGGGAACATTGACGAGCCAGTAAGGGAGAGGTTCCGCTGGCGCTGCTGCAACCGTTGTCTTCTCGTCAACAAGTTCTGCAGCGGTCGTATCTAAAGGTGTGACAGCGAGTCCGGGTGATAATAATTCTGACACCGGAGCGCGAAGCGTGTCGTCGTCGAGGTGAGCAATCATCAGGAAGGCAGGACAACAAATCAGCAGCAGTGAAGCTAGTACAGCTATCACCGCCGCGCATTTGGGATGTTGTTGTGTGTCTGCGTGTCCAAGTATCCAAGAGACAAGGCGTGGAGGCAAATAAACTTGTCCTAGAGATAGCCTATCGGCCCGCTGAATATGCCACTCACGGCTGGCTTACGCTACCAGTATTTCAACGTGATAGAATGATGAACAAACGTTTGAAGAAGTTATTTTTACGACCTTGGTGGGCTTGCTGATATGGAACGTCAGGTTGGCGGGACGATCCTTGTTGCAGCTTCATTGAATTTCTTCGCTCCCTTTCCACATTTGAAGCATCAGGGGAACTGACTGCCCAGACAACATCCCTTAGCAATAGACATCCCTAAAATTTATATAACATTGCAAGGCTATACCGAGCCAATAAAATTTCATTGCAATAATGGTATATAGCTGATTCATAGACAAGATTCAAATCACTCCTCACGAAAGATCCCCCAACTAGTTCCTTCTCAACCCACCACGCCCATCATAAGTAATTGCTTTCTGGTAACAATGCCTTAACCCTTGCTACCTCCGGCCCATTAATGCTCACAATCCTCACTCCATGATCCTCCATCTCTCTCTTGCACACCTCCCACCCCCCAAGAGGGTCGATGCATTTCGTCCCCTCCTCCACCACGAAGCAGCGAAACCGTCTATCCGCTGCATCAACAGCAGTCCTCGTCACACAAAAGTCGCCCGCAACCCCAACGATGAAAATATCCGAAACACGGTGCTCCCTTAACACCGCAGTGAGATCTGCATTCACCCCGCCAGTCTCAACACAGTTATTGTTCCCAAATATATCCGTGAACGCAGAGTACATTTCCATCCTCGCATCCATCCCCTTGCGGATATTCACGCTGATCCTGTCCGCTTCGATTTCGGGAATGATGCATGCGCCTGGCGTATTAGCGACGCAGTGTACTGGCCAGAGGCGTAGCGGCTTTGTTTCCGCCTCCCTACCGGCGGCGGTGTTTTTCAGGGTAGTGGTAGATTGGAAGGGGATGTTGTTGGGGGCCGGCTGATTGGTAGCGAAGGAGATGTGTGATGTTGGGTGGAAGTCCTGAGTGGAGATTTTGACGACAAAGCCGGGGAGGGCAAGGAGGGGATTTATAACGGGGGCGAGGGTGCGGGCTCCCTCGACGGCTAGGCTGCCATTCTGACAAATGAGGTTTTTGTTAGTGATAATGCTTATTGGAACACATATGGGAGCGCTGGGAGGCTGAGTAGGTTAACACGAGAACTGTGTTGGAGGGGGAATACCTACGGGCGGACAAAAGTCCTCTTGCATATCCACCACGATCAACGCGGGGCGAAATGGAGCTGATGTAGCCTCATCGAGATTATCGCCACTCGAAGCCATGGTGAGAATGGCCCGATATGGGCCTTTTTCAATTCAAATGGTATTACCACATTGAATGGTAATTAGAGAATTGGGTTGCCTCTTGACCGTGTGGGGTGACTGTACTTGCTCGCTTTTTTATAACTAGTTACTATTTATTTATTGCCAAATCGGTCCCACGTGAGTAGGTCTTCGCCATGACATCATAGCGCTGGATGTGAATCTCGATCAGAAAAAAAAATTAGTTGGGTCATAAAATGCTACAGATATTGCCTTCTCACGGGAGGACGCTGCAAATTACATGTCTTACTATATACAAAACCCGTATGCTAAGACCAACTCGATCAAAGCTTCGCAATTGCTGCGGCATCATCACCGAAAACAATCCGTTTATCCCAGGCAGCTTCAACTTCCCACGAACTATATGTGACCCGTTCTTTCAATACAAAGCGTCTTGCAATTTCTCTCGCGATAGGGTCGTTATCTCGCGCCGCATCCAAAATCAGCAATAGCCCGCAAACTACGCTTTCGAGCCCGACAAGGAGATCCCGTCCTTCCCACCTCAATTGTTCTTTATCTTTGGTTTCGGTGGATTTCTGCCACTGCTCCCAAATTCTCTGTATTTTGTTAGCTTCTTCCTTGAATGAATTCTTGCGCGCAATCACCAAACCGCTCGCGACCCATAGTCCCACAGCCGCCAAGGTCGCCGGGCCTTGTCGAGATTTCATCACACGAACCAGGTCGTCCGCCATGATATCGGTAGTCCCTTCCCATATGCTGAGAACACATACGTCACGGAAAATCCTCGCAACGTTGAACACAGGATCCTCATTCTCAAGATAACCGACTCCACCTAGATTCTCCATGCACGCACGAACTCCATTGATAGATCTAAGCGCTGTTTGAGCTTTGCCCATGGGGGTAAGGAGACGGAGCAAAGCACTGGACTGCTCAGCGTTGGTTGGGAGGATAGAAGCCTGCGTTGCTTGCGTGAGACGGCTGTCTTGCCCTTCAGAGATACCCAACAATGAGGCCACGAAATGGGCAAGATGGAGCAGGCCCCGATACATCACATGCTCCCGAGCAAGCGCTCTCACGTGTGCGGGTAGTTCGGTGAGGAGTCTGCCGCCCGCAATCCTCACCTTCGCATATGCTCTGGAGATTGCCAACCCTCTCCCCCAGCCACCCACAGCTCCACTCATATTATGAACTCTGGTGATATTGAGAATGGTTGAAATTTCCCTGACGCCATCGCCTTCCTTACCTATCAAATATCCTCTCATTCCTTTCAGTTCTAGTTCTGCGGTTGGGAGGGCTTTTGTGCCGAGCTTATTCTTCAATCGCTGAATTCTCACACCGTTGAGTTCCGTCTCGTCTTCAGCTCCCCCCACAACTCTTCTGCGCAAGGGGGCATAGAAAGCGCTAATCTGGCCATCTGGTCCTGTTCTGGCAAGCATAATCGTCATATTAGCGTCGGTGGCGGATGAAAACCACTTGAAACCGTCGAGCTGCCATGGTCCAAGGGGACATCCAAGTTCATCAACCCCTTTACTCGCGTTTTGTTCTTCTGTAGAAAGTTTCCTAGCCACCGTCTCAGTCCCACGAACATCGCTCCCTCCCTTCCGTTCTGTCATCCATTGGCCGCTGGTCCATGCAACACTGGGATTTCGACTAATTAGTCTATTTCTAGCTTCTGTAAATATAGACCCATTCGCACCATTCAGATGCCGCCCAAGCAATTTGGCAGCACCATCGGTCATAGCACCCGGGCATGTAACCAGAGCGGCACTGGAAGTCCAAAGATGGAGTTTGATGAATTGATATGCTCGGTTATTCCACGGCGAGCCTCGAGCATTGGCATATGCTATTCCCACCATTCCCTCCACAATTCCTCTATCCTGTAGTTTGCGCCACCCTTCACTTGTGACCAGGGGGTCCTGTTTATTCTCCGTGCCAAACGTAGAGAGCGGCCGAAGGTACGGCTGGTTCTTCTCGGCGTCTGCTGCATAGGCCATATGAGATCTCGACAGCACAAGACGAGAAAATCGAGAAAGGTCTTCATCTATGCTGGAGGGTATAGGGGATGGAAGGTACAAGGAGATGATCCGGCGAAAGGCAGCATCTTCAACATACTGAGGGGGGATGGTTGGAGGGGTTTGGAAGAAACCCTTTGTTGCGCTGGACGCTTCCATTTTAGCGTCGGTTAAGAATCAGTAATGGTATTCTTGGTTTGTCCGTCATAAGATCTAAGTAGGAAAAAGTTGAAGCCTTCGAGAGATGGAAAAGCATGGACAGGGATGATATACATGGCTCGCTATCCGATGAATGAGGAGTGGTTGGTGTCTTGAGCCTCGGCAAGATGGTCGACCAGCCACCCTCCACTGTTGTCTATCCGCTGGATTTACTGCGAATTTTGCCAAGGTCTAACATGACGGAGGCACCACACTTTACGCTGTACTAGCTCTAGGGATGAGTGTTACGAGTATCATCACATTGGACAGTGCATCTCACTAACAATGTCTGTCAAATTGCCAATCCAGCTCGCTAGCTTCAGAGTGAGATTGGGACAGATTGACGGTAAACTTCGATTCCGCCTTTGAATCAGTTAAACCCAATCCGAACGAGCACGACCTGAAAACACCCGAAAAAGATCAAGCTCGGATGTGACCAGAGCAGTATGCTGAATCTTTGAGGGATCATGTACGAGATTCAACATCGAATGCAAGATTGGTTCCAAATTTCTCTCACCAGGGCGCTCAGCTAAGGACCACAAGGGCAACTAATAAGGCCTGACGCAGCAAATCTAGGGCTACGGAGTAGAATTAATGCCAATCGGAAGGAAGGCTAGTGGTCCTCTGCCTCCGATGGCTTCTGGAAGCAAACCCGTTCAAGGCTCGGTGACCGAAGCCAGCAAGATATCACTCCAGTGGTCCGGTGGAGACAACTAAATGATTGAAACAAGGGTTTTCTGCGAAAAATACCGGGAGTGGGTATTGCTTCTTCACATTTTTACGGGGATTTTTGCAAGCAGAACCCTCCTGCATCCTCAGCCCTTCAAATCTTGAGCATTGCTCGCTTCCCCTCTCTAAATATCCAAATCGAACTATTTGATGACGCGGCACTAGTTGAGAAAGGACAAAGAACGTTATTCCTCCGCCGATACTCCATATGAAAAAGGTTGTCCGACGAGGATGGGTTGAATTCTCATATGTATTCACGAGGGCCGAATTTACAACTTCTTATCACCTCAACTTCCGATGGATTTCCACTGGACCTTTTGAATCCTGTACAGCTCTTCTGTAGCTGATGAAAGGTTTATGAAACAGGGAGATCCCGCAGGTTTTTAAACTAACTAACTATGCCTAGCACATGTAAAAGCCCGCACTAAGGTGCCAGCGCTATACCGAAGCACGCCACGAACTTCGCGCACTGAGTCATATGATATAAAACTCTATTTAATAACCCCTTATGATTGGCTTGCTCGGCTTCACCATATACATAGGTTACTGATCCCAGACATCAATGTCGAGGTGTGTACACAGACTCTGTACAACGGGAGTAAATAGAAATAATACATACCTTCCTCTCAAAAAGAAAAAGAAAAGAAAGGGGAAAAAAAATATTATATATACTGAAGAAAAAGAGCTAGTTAAGAATTATAAAAGCAGCAGATATTGAATTAGCTGTGAACAGCTGCTGCTTAAAGAGATCTCTCATCCACCGCTGAGAGTCATTCTTATTATCATTTACAATCTCTATCATCTTCACCTCTTCTTTATCTTATATGAAGTAGTGAATAATATGATCATATCATTTGTAGTTACTACAAGCTTCATCAAAGGGATCCGACAGATAATAATAATATTCTGAGAATGACTGAAGATTTGAATAAATGAAACAGTCTGGTACAGATATATTGAATAATCAATTGGAAAGCAATTTAGACTGGTATAAATACATAGCCAATTTAAAAGCAAATTAAGTGGCCATGGGGAGAGAGGAACGCGTGAACTCTCCAAACCGTGGTATCAACAAGGACACGAAACAAACACGGCAGTTGGGTGAACGATTGCACCTAGGAATAACAGGCATGGAAACAGGCAGCAGGGAATCAACTTAAAAATGGGTATCGAAAACTCCAGGCGCAGGATAAACAGACACAGGCAGACCAACAAGGGACCACCTCAGGCAAAGCGAAAACTCCCGCACTCCACCAAAACGAATACTTTCCTTGGACGCCTCCCTTTGGTCTAACACATCACTATTTCCCCATCAAGATCGATGTATCTGTCCACGATTATATCCCCCCAAACGTCATCACCCTGACCCTGCAAAAATTTTGCTGGCACACTCTTATAACAGACGGAATCTAGGCAGCCCTTCTGGCCAAATATTATTCCTGGCCGAGGATTGGGGATAGCACTTCTGTCAACGACAAGAGCAACAGTGCAAAGACGGATGTAAGTATTCGTAAACTCAATGTGAGCGGTACACTGCACCCGACAACCCAAACCCCCTTCTAGCCGATAAGGATTATGTATAGGATCGTTTTCCAGATAATCGCGAAATCCTGCAGACAATACGTCCGCTGAAATGATGGTTTGTTGGGCGCCAGTATCAAACAGCATTACAGCTTTTTCGAACGTCTCTACCTTGGAACTATCGTCTACACCTTCGAGGATCACCTTCGCAGTTATTGTGGCTAAATTTTGCGATTCAAGAGCAGCTGGGATCACAACTGGATATGGTTCTTTGTACGGCGGGAAAGGCTGGGCATTCTCTTTCGCACGCTGTTTCATTTGTGGCGATGGTAGAGTGGGTAGGGGGACTTGGTTCGAGTCATATTGAAGTCGAATGGGCTTGGTAAGGCTCGTGCTGGTGTCGAATGATGCCTGTGCCTGTACTTGTTGAAGAGCTTGGTTCCTGAGATCACGCTTCCTTAGGGCAGGGATTGGGGGGTCGATGGATATCTTTCTGTCCAATCCAGTAAGACTCCCGGAAACCGTTTCAAGGCATTTCTGCCAAGTTGTTTCATACGGGGTGGACACTTTAAGATCCGGCAAAGCAGTGTTAATGGCCTTTCCCACTTGGGAAAGGAGGTGGAAAGGGTGAAACGAGACTACTCTCGTTGCAACCTGCAGAATGTTAGTTTTTCTATCCTTCAGTAGTGGGATGGGATGATTGCAAACCTCTTCGGCTGGCTTAGAGTCTGTTGCAAGGTTGTTCATTTTGGCGTCGCGACAGTATGAGGTATAGATGGAATAACAGCACAATCTCGAATCGTTAAGGCCCACACACTTGCAGTTCAAGCAGATGAGAACTCTGATCGTTGTTTCGTCATGGGTTATGAGGTTTGTGGGATGGACGGCGCCTGCCTATTTTAAGAGGTCCTATGCACGCCACACTCGGTAGATTTTAAAGAAGGCAATTATCTCTTCACCTTAAATCAAGTTTATTTAACGTATTATTAAAACCTAGCAGGAAAGAAGAGTTAGATGAAGATATCACCGCGGGCAACGCAGGTGATGCATGTTATTGCCACGAGGGTCCCACCGCTGGATGGAAGCAGAACGATAACAAAAAAAGAAAAGAAGTAAACACTAGAAGAGAAGGTCCTATCCATTTATGGTAGTTATGGCATAAGCTTACTTTCGCTTTCGTGATTATTCAGGGAAGACTCTCAAATGCCCTTTAATGAAATGCACCACGATCAAGGAAGCTATGGTATGGATATATATCGTTTGATAGCAGCTTCACGATAAAATTCGGCAGCTTCCCGTGCGTCCCAAAGAAATGCGGATGTAGCTAACTACCTGTCAGTTTTAGCAGAAATTAAAAGAGACAGTGGCATGGGTGTAGCTACGTGGAATCTAGAATGAACCCACCGTAATGCTTCGAGAACTCGTCACGGTGCTAGTCTGCTGGTGCTGGTGCTGGTGATGCTGGTTGTTGTTGTTGTTGCTGGAGATGAAACCGAAAAAGGTTCGAATTGGATGCAAGATAGGATAGCAATAAAAATAACTTAATCTCTGATTAACTATCTATCTAGAAGGGGGTTTTAACTAGTTAACATAGTCTATCTGAAAGCAGGCCACATCATCAAGCAGGCCACTTTAACAATTTCATTATCAAATATATTCATTATACTCCGTACAGATTACAGAGTCATTCGATCTATCTCGGCATCGTATTTTACACATGGCCAGTTCGGTCGGGTGTTGGTCAGGTCATATCTGGTCATCGGGAAGGGATCCTCCCGACTCCATGGCCAGCGCTAGTTTCGGACTTTATTTTCAGCCCCTTCTTTCAGCCCCGTCTTTCAACCCTGACGCGTAGTTAGTTAACATTATATAATAGATGAAAGCTAGATATCTCATCTTGTCCCGGCTGGCCATTGATGTCTATTTCTTTTGTCATCTGCCCGCATATTATTTTCGTCCAACTCTCGTCCAATTTTTCGCCATGTCCTGGTTCACTATTGGGACCTTCGGTGTGCTCGCTTTTGTAGCAGCCGTCACACTCAATCTTGTCTACCAACTGCTCTTTCGCTTTCTGAATAAGACTAGGCCACCGTTGGTCTTTCACTGGATCCCGTTCCTGGGAAGTACAATCCGCTATCGAACCGACCCGTACAAGTTTTTCTTCTCCTGTCGTCAGAAGGTAAGCGAGCAGGAAAGAAATTCCCGTTCTCAGTGATTCTGTCGTGTGATGGCTAATAGGAGGCATCGCGATTGTTCCAGCACGGCGACATCTTCACCTTTGTGCTTCTGGGGCGTCCTACCACTGTCTACCTAGGCATAAAGGGCAACGAGTTCATCCTTAATGGCAAGCTGAAAGACGTGAACGCTGAAGAGGTGTACGGCCCCTTGACCACTCCGGTGTTTGGACCGGACGTGGTGTATGATTGTCCCAATTCAAAGCTCATCGAGCAGAAGAAGTTCATCAAGTATGGCCTCACTCAGGCGGCGCTGGAGTCCCACGTGCCATTAATTGAGAAGGAGGTCATGGATTATCTCGACTCCTCGCCCAATTTCCTCGGAGCCTCAGGCGAGGTGGATATTTCGGCCGTCATGGCAGAGATCACCATATTCACTGCGGGGAGTGCCCTCCAGGGAGAAGAGGTGCGATCCAAACTCACCACTGAATTTGCTGTTCTCTACCATGACCTGGACAAAGGATTCAGCCCGATTAATTTCATGCTTCCCTGGGCGCCCTTACCACATAACAAGAAACGCGATGCCGCCCATACTCTCATGCACGCCATCTACCTCGATATCATTGAGAAACGGCGACGTGCCGCGAGAAACGCCAACGGCTCACAAACGCAGGATATGATTGAGAATCTGATGCAGTGCACTTACAAGAACGGCCAGAAATTGCCGGACAAGGAGATTGCAAATATCATGATCTCCCTGCTGATGGCCGGCCAGCATTCGTCATCGACAACCAGCTCTTGGATCATGTTGCACCTAGCCTCCGAGCCTGCGGTCGTCGAGCAGCTCTACCAAGAGCAGCTGGACAACCTGCCGCGCACTGGTCCCAATGGCAGCCTGGGTCCCCTTCAATACGGCGACCTCAACCGCCTCCCGCTACATCGGAATGTGATCAGAGAGACACTCCGTCTCCACACATCCATCCACTCCCTCCTACGCAAAGTTATGAACCCAATGCCAGTCGCCGGCACACCCTATGTGATCCCACCCTCGCACGTCGTGCTCTCCGCGCCAGGCGTCACTGCCCTAAGTGACGAATATTTCCCCAATCCCACGATGTGGGATCCTAATCGCTGGGAAACTCAGGAACCCAAGGTGGACGAGAAGGAGGACATGGTCGATTATGGGTACGGCACCATATCCAAGGGTACCTCCAGTCCTTATCTCCCCTTCGGGGCAGGGCGTCACCGCTGTATCGGAGAGAAGTTCGCCTATGTCAACCTAACGGTCATCGTGGCCATAATGGTGCGGCATCTGCAGTTTTCCAACATTGGCGGAAAGACCGGTGTGCCTCGCACGGACTATTCATCGATGTTTTCGGCGCCTATGAAACCCGCGCGGATTAACTGGAAGCGACGGACTGCAAAATCGGGTTAGTTTGTAATGTTGAGAATTTTACATCGTTCTCTGGTATGAATTCTCAGTTTACGGGATCGGAAAGTGAAGGGAGAACATACAACTAATATATTAAATGGGCATTGTTGTTACTTTTCTCTTTTGGGGGACAATGCCGCACTTATGATTTCCTTGATGTCGGGCTTAATATTGACCAGCTCAAAACAGCGAGGCATGCATGGCACAAGGGGAAATTATCCGCAAAGGTCGGAGTTCCATACGGAGAGGATTCGATATCACGGGAGTTCGCTCTCGATTGGCGGGCTTGTATTAGGATTCAGAGGATGAGTTTTGTATGAAAAGTTCAGGCGTTTCATTTAGAGCTGGATGGATTTGTAGAATAACAATGTACCTTCAGCCAACGACGTGCGTTATAGAGATTGTCAGCTATTACCCAGCTACAACACACAGGTAATCCCAAATCTTCATATATTATTAATATCCACTCACGTAGTTTTATGACGAGCATACAATATGCTGTCCAAAGGCGTACTGGAAGGAGTAATTATTGGTATGCAGGTTGGACGACTTGAGAGAAATCTATGACTAAGCGGGCTTTAACAGCTTTCCTAAAACTTCCAACTTCACCGAAATATTTCCAAACAACTAAAAACAGGCTCAAAGAGACAGGATTCTTCTAAGCAAGCTTATAGCCGTCCGCCTGTCTGCAGAGTATGAGCAATTCTATTAAGGTATGTCGTGAAGTCCCAATTCTGCACTCTTTAATGCTGCGCGTCCGGCCTCTTCCCCCAAAAATGATGAATCTTCTTATTGGAGCTGTCCTATTCTCACATATGAGGATACACTTAAAATACGCAAAATATACATATCAATCTGAATTCCCACTATCGAAGTTGTGCATACCCATTCCGTGAGTTAGTTGGAATATGTTGATTCACGCTGCTGACTGCAAGCTTCCTAGCGAGTTCGTTTCATAAGTAATCGGGCCACTCATCCTCCCTGATTTATCGGCAATCTCGTGCTGCAAAATCATATATAAGATACATCTGAGTTCTCGACAGTTCTTTTTAGACTTTACTATAGAAGAAATAGCTCAGTAGACCCCGCAACAGCAGACAAATAAACCAGCAACATGAGTGCGGACCCTCGACTTGCTCGAACAACAAGTTCAACTCCACCACCTCCCCCGCCTCCTCCTCCACCACAAGAGCCTTCTGCTTCAACGCCGCCGACAGGACTGGATGGCACCGCCGACGACTCACCAACACCACCCCCCCCTCACCCGTCATCTACCTCCTATAAACTTAAATTCTGCACTGTATGCGCGGCCAACCAAAATCGTTCAATGGAGGCGCACAACCGCCTCTCCGCACCCCCTTCCTCATATCCAGTAATCTCATTCGGCACCGGATCCCTTGTCCGACTCCCAGGCCCATCCATCGCACAACCTAACGTCTATAACTTCAACACTGTATCTTACGCCCAAATGTACGACGAATTATTGCAAAAAGACCCCAGGTTATACCGGAATAATGGCGTTCTGCCCATGCTCGAGCGAAACAAAAGCGTGAAATGGGGTCCGGAACGGTTCCAAGAATGGGTGCCTGGCATGCCACGGCTGGACCATGTGTCGAGAGGGGACAAGGGTGCGCTGGGTACGGAGGGCGGCTTGGTCGATGCCATCATTACCTGCGAGGAACGATGTTGGGATGCTGTGGTTGATGACTTGATGAACCGTGGTGCACCCTTGAATCGCCCGGTGCACGTATTCAATGTCGACATTCGCGATAATCACGAGGAAGCATTGGTTGGTTCCAAAGCGATTCTCGACCTGGCTGATAGGCTGAATAGTGCGGCGGACCAGGAGCGGAGGATTAATGGGACGAACGGTTGGGATCAGGGGACCGGTGAAGCTAGGAAATGTTTCGATGACCAGGTTCCTGAGATACTGGCCAAGTGGCAGGAGAAGTGGCCGAATCTTCCGGCACTATGGACTCTTTCTTGGTTTTGATCCCTGGCTAGGAAACTCTTGATGCGCAGGGTACTTGTATAATTTCACGTACAACGCGCGTGTATGTTTTGTTTTATAACTATTCCTTTTGCGAAGCGTGGCGTTGGGGTACCATCTGATTTACATTGTCATATAGCACTTCACGCCTATCTGAATGGCAGTGCGTTACTTTTCGCGCAGAGCTTCTCCATGTTTTCCATGCTTAGTCTTTGCCTTGTTTTCGCAAGACAGATGGCTAACCAATATGAGCCTTTATTTGGAGGAGAGTTTGGCCGCATAAGGGGAAAGGGAAGACTGGGAACAGAAGGGGACATAGACCTCGTAGTAGCTGACTTGAAATCATTTTCACGCCACGTAGATAAAGTCAGTTTATACAGTCGTTCAGCTGTAGCCTGGTTGAAATTGTCACTGCTGGTTACATAATGTAATATGGATGGTCCGCATATGTAAAACCCCAGGTCGGGTTGTTAACCGACCCAAGTTTGGAGTTATTCCAATGAAAATCGGTATCTGACGCTCCTTGTACAGCGGCCCACGAGATGACCCATTCCTGACCGTGGTAGTTAGAAATTGATTTCAGCTATTGGAATGCAATGTTGGAATCACAACGGATGAAAAAATATCAGCCTGGAGGCTCCTCTTGCGGTATACTCTGCAACAGATTCGCATCATCATCACCATCATCATTATTCTTGATCGGCGTATTCATCCCATCAGCGCGGCCTGACGCTCTTGATACCATCTGGCCAAATAACTCCTCCTCTGTGCCTGTGTCATGCCCTCAACAACTAGGGCAAACTCGGTCGGGTTATCAAATCCAAACCGCTTAGACATACTGCAAAACTGGCGCCTCTTTACATCCTCAGGTGGGTGATATTTAAACAGAACATGCTTTCTACCATATTTAACGTCAAGGGGCAAAGTGAGGTCATCTTGAGAGGCTTCGAAGACCTGCTCCTCACCAAAACTGGTCCCATCAATTGCCATCTCAGCACGACGACTAAGGCGTTCCTCGATTTTTGACGATCCAATGACTTCAGAGTTCTCATGTGTATATTCAACGCCCGCTCGGACTAATATGGCTTGGATTGGGTCATGTTTTGCTGGGACAGCATTTTTGGTATTGTTATTTATTGCAGGAACCTCACCCCGGATCATAGCCGCCAGTTGGCTCATTGCACCGTCCTCCTCCTCACCTTTGGGTGAAGACGAGGGTTGTTCATCAAGTCCATCCTTGGTGTCCTCCAACTCGATATCGACAATTTTAACGCCAACCTTGCTTTCTGCGACGTTTGTCTTATTGACGATGTCCCTTAGGACAATGCTGTCACCTTGATACTGGAACATGTTGGAGAGCCCAAATATCTCGCCGTTCCTGTCCTTCTTCTCCTGGACTCCCTTGAAGTACCGCCGTTCGGTGCTGGCCGTGTACCCGATGTTTGCTTGTTGTTGCTTGTATATTTGGCGGGCATAAACAATTTCCTCAATCGTGCCCGCAGAGACTAACCGGAAAACCTCCACATCCCTAGCTTGCCCAATACGATATGCACGGTCCTGTGCCTGGAGGTCATACGCCGGATTCCAATTTGGGTCGACAACAACGACTTTGTTGGCAGAGGTAATGTTTAGGCCTACTCCACCAGCCCGGGTAGAGATCAGGAATACAAATTCCCGAACATCGGCGTTGAAATTGTCAACGACTTTTGCTCTGTCCTCGTAGCTCATAGCACCATCCAAATAACTGACATTATAGCTGGTATGTTTAAAAAGCATCTGAAGCATTTTAAGCAGTCGAACGCTATGGGAAAAGACGAGGACCTTGTCTCCATTGCCATGCCACCACCTGAGAAGCTTCTTCAGCACCCTCCACTTTCCGCAAAACTCGTGGTTTGCGTAGTTAAGGATCGAATCTCTAGTAGCATATAACTGTCGCCACTGGTCCGGTAGAGCGATCTGAAGCATCTCCAGGTCTTTGTCTTGTTTCTCTGTTGGATCTTGTGATTGCGGAATAAGAATTGCGAGGTGGTTACTGAGCTTTTGCAAGTTCGAAATTGCTGGAAAGACATAACTTTGCCACTTCCCACCTTGGGGTAAGTGCATACGACAACACCAGCCAGACTTCTTTCCTGATCCGCAGTGACACTTGTCGGATGACGTTTTAATATACTCAATGATATCACTATCCAATACCCTCTCATATGCATCAGCTTGGGTAGGCGTGAGGGGACAAAATACAACTCGATCACTCTTCTTCGGTAATTGGTCTGCGATAAGCGTTTTCATGCGCCTGAGGAAGAAAGGGGGTAGAAGGTTCTCAACAAGCTTCCTCGCAGTTTTCCTCGCTTTGCTAAGCTGGTATACAGTTGCATCATGGGACTGTCCTAATTTCAACGGCTCGCAAATCGTGGATTTCCACGTGGACACCGGGCCAAATTTCCCGGGGTTGGTCCAGTTGAGCAGTGTCCAGAGCTCTTCGTATTTGTTCTGGATTGCTGTGCCTGTAAGGCCAATCCGGCAAAGAGCGTTGATTTCGTTCATCGACTGGGCGGTTTCCGATTTCCTTTCCTTGAAAATGTGGCACTCATCTGCAACAATACAGTCCCATTCCACCATGTTCAGAGCATCTTTATTGAGCACGTATGTTTTGTAGGTTGTGAGCATTATCTCCAACCTTCCGGAGGCGGCAGATTGCAAAGCTTCCTCTTTCCCAGCACCATGATATACCTCAATATGCCACCACCCCCATCGATCCAATTCCGATCTCCAGTTTTGCAAAAGGGTCCCGGGACAAATAATCAGAGTTCTAGGATACCAAACTCTGTCTCCCCTCCGCCTCATCTTCCGCATACGTTTAGCATCCCGCTCATCTCCTGTTTTCCCATATGCTGCAGTCAAGAATGCTATAATTTGCACAGTTTTCCCTAAGCCCATGTCATCTCCAAGGATCCCCCCTTTTTGGTAAACAAATAATTCATGTAGAAACTCAACCCCCTGGACTTGATAATCCCGTAGCCATTGTGCAATGGAAGCTGGAATCAAGCCCAGAGAATAAGGGAGTTGTATGTCTTCATACTTCCGCGACGGAGTGGCGTTCTGAAAATTCGGCTTCTCGCTCAAAGCCTCCAGGTTTTCATCATCAGAGAACTCAACATCGTCAAAACTTGGGGGTAGCTTCAATCCTGCCTCTTTCAGAACGGTTATTTTCTTGTCAAATGTTGAGCGGCGGTTTTGAATATAACTCGGGAAGCATGTATTCCATCATATCGTCATCAGAAGATAATTCTCCGTACTCCTTTAATTGCCGCTGGCGTTTGCGGGATGTATTAGCTTCCGTTCTGTTTGGCCGCTTGCCGACAATAGGATTTCCAGATGCGCCTTTAGTTTTGCGTGTTCTGGCGGCGGCTCTCTTGCGCTTGAGTTGCCTTCTATTTTTGAATTTCTCGTATGTGGCTGCGCCATCGTTGAAACCAGCTACATCATCAAATTCCTCGTCTGAAACAGGTATCACCTCCTGCGTTATGCGTCCAGTAGTCCGCTCTGAGTTGCGGGCCAGTTTCAAATGTTCTGGAAATAAAGACCTTGCTATATTTTATCCCTATTAGCTTCATAAGACCGACGCGAATAATGCAGGTATCATACCTCCGATTCCATCGTTCTCATTCTGATACCCCTCTCTCTTGGGTGCTGCTCTTGGGGAGCCCAAATCATCGTCGCTCACATCATCACTTTGAGTTGTGGCATCGGAGTTCTCCAGCTCCCAGTGGGAGACCATCCTCAGGTAGTTCCCACAAGCAATTCCACACGTTGATATTCTACGATGCTTGAGGCACGATGCGGGGAGATATTTTAAGCGCGAGGCAAAGTCGCGAGAGTTTCGCGAGTCACATGATCAGAATGATAAAATAAAAATTTCCTAAACAGGTAAAAAGCTTGACTAGTTACAAAGATTTATTTCTTTTCCTCAAGCTGGGATATCAAGGATTGCGTGGAATCAACAATTAGTTACGTTTTTACACCCTAATTGCCCAAGAGGAAGAGTTGATTCTTCTGCCAATTTGCCATCTTCGATCTCCATCTATTGACTCGTTCCCGTCAAATTCCTTAGTATAAAAATCCGCATCTATTAGAACGACCCCCGCCATTAGTAGCATACCGACTTTTCTTTCCTCACGAGGAAATATACACCTGTATATCGGCGCTTTATGACATCGACTAGCAGGCTATCTACTAGGCTATGTTCATACCAAAAGTTACTCAGTGATCAGAACGTCAAAAGGCCTTCAGGCCCAGTTCTGGAAGATTACACAAGTCATCCTTCACAATGCCCCTCGACACCTCAACAACATACCGCCTTACCAGGCTTCGGCTTGACGGCAGGCGTTGGAATGAACTCCGCTTAATGCAGGCCCAGATCTCGACGAACCCTGCCAGCTCTGGATCATCGTATCTCTCAATGGGCAATACAGTGGTTATCTGTATGGTTCATGGGCCAGCAGAAGGCCGACGATCCGAAGCAACGGGCCCCGCTCGTGAGGGGGCTGTTGTATCCGTTGCCGTTAATGTTGCAGGTTTTTCCGGCGTTGACAGGAAAAAGAAGAGTGCAACTGGTGGCGGAGGCGATAGGTTCGTTAGTTTTCATCCTGGCTGTTGTTGTTGTTGTTGTTGCACATAGACAATTTCTGATCCAAAGCTTCAGACAAGCATCTACAGATCTAGCCTTCGCCCTCCGTGATGCCTTTCAGCCACATCTCCACACCCACATATATCCGCATAGCACAATATCCCTCCATGTTTCTGTCCTATCGTCCGACGGCTCCCTCTTCGCAGCATGCATAAATGCATGCACTCTAGCACTAGTGGATGCCGGGATACCAATGCCGGGCCTTCTTTGCGCTTGCACCGTCGGAATGAGTGGAAGAGCATCCACTCCGGCCGAACCTGAACTTACTCGCGTGGGCGGAATTAACGAAAGTTTGGATCCGCTTCTTGACATGTCCATGCCTGAAGAACAAGAACTTCCATTCATGACTGTCGCGAATACGAACCCAGCACCCACGGGCGACGATTCCATGGATGACCAAGAGGAGAACCAGATGCTGTCGATCGTCCAGATGGGGGCTGGCGTACATATTTCATATCTGGAAACTATGTTTGCAGTAGGGCTGGACGGGTGTAAGCAGGTCAGGGAGATACTGAATGGCGTTGTGAAAGCAGCGGGACGGAAGGTGCTAGAAGGGGAGGGTGAAATATTGCCTGGTGTCGAACAATGAACAAAGTTGTTTGTTTCCCATCACCACGACTCCGTTCAGCAGTCATTGCACGTTACTACTTACCAGGCCAGCATTTGGCAAACACGAATTGCTGAAGTGCTGCCTTCCGGCCTATGGTGCTCGGGTGCTAGCCGAAACCAAGCAATCAAGAAATATCTACTTGGGAACTCGAGGAGACATCTTGAAAGAGCCGGGTCTCATTTGTTTTTTTAGCCGTCTTGGCTACTTGCAGACCCAGACATTCGGGGGCGCTGATGTTATTTAAAATACAAGGCAAGGAGGGGGGGGGGGGGGGAGAGAAGGAAGGAAAGGAGAGATGAACTAGAACTGGTAAACCACCCACAACGCATCAGAAGATGCATGGAGCTCAGACCGACATCACCAGTGTTACTAGTATTGAGCACTCACCAAAATACGAACCGCTTAGCATATAGTGCAGATGAATGACATGTCTCCACGGACAGACACGGCACATGCGTATGTTAAATTATTTTCTCAAGCCATCCTAGTAGTACATTTTCTACGTTCACCTGGTACTAAACTCCCGTTCACCAGAAGAAGAAGAAGAGGAAGAGGAAGAAGGAAAAGGAAAATGAAAATGAAAACACCGCCACCGTTGAAGATATCCCGACACCATAACATAAAAGCTAAAGATCTACTCCGTACTTAAGAATGTATTCCACACCTACATCCAGGCGCACTGCATCCCACTGGTTCATTGAGTTGTTTCCTCTATGGTGTCCAGTCCTATTCATTATTCATGGTAAAACCACCAAGAGGAAAATTGGTTTCCAGTTCCCCGCCCACCACCATATTTGGGCCGGGTGGATTCCCTTTGGGAATTCCATTAAAAGAAAAAAAAATTTTTTCCGGGGGGTTTTTTTTTTTTTTCCCTTTGGAAGGGGTTTTTTTTTTTTTTTTTTTTTTTTTTTTTTTTTTTTTTTTTTTTTTTTTTTGGTTTTTTTTTTTTTTTGTTTTTTTGTTTTGGTCTGGAGGGTTTTGTTTTTTCTATTTAGTTAAACGAAAACAAGAACCTCTGCCGTTTCCGCCCCGCTACCTTAATTCTGTTACATGACATGACAAAGCAATTTCTCCCCTCCTTTTCCCGCGCCTTCCCCACCGCAGAACAAAAAAGAAGTTCTCTAAAAGAAAGCAAAGAAAAGAAGCAGAAGAAAGCAATTTTTCATCTACACACCCTCTATGGGGAACAATCAATCTTCTTTTAAACCTGACCACAGTTGACAATCTTGGGCTTGATGGATGTTTTGATGGCTCCGGAGGTGCTGCCAGCGCTCTCAATGTCGCGAACAACATCCATGGACTGCTTCTGGTTGGGGCCAAGTCTTGTCGACGGGCAGTCTACGACCTTGCCGAAGACGACGTGCTTGCCATCAAGCCAGCTGGTCTTCGCGGTGGTGATGAAGAATTGGGAGCCGTTGCTGTTAAACGAAAAGGCAAAAGTAGGTTAGCTGATGGTTAGATGGAGGAGAGAGCTCAAGGGTATATATAAGGGCAGTGTAAGCAAGGATTTTTGGGGTACATACGTGTTGGGCCCAGCATTGGCCATGGAAAGGATACCAGGGCCTTCGTGGGTGCATTTGAAGTTCTCATCAGCGAACTTCTCGCCGTAGATCGACTTGCCACCAGTGCCCTGTTAAAACGAGACAGAAGCAAGCCGTTAGTTTTAAAGAACAGTCTCGCTAAATATATATATATATATATATATATATATATATATCCTAGAAAAATACACGGATTGGATAATAGATGATTCATACGTTGCCACGGGTGAAGTCACCACCCTGGAGCATGAAATCAGGGATGACACGGTGGAAGATGGAGTCCTTGTAGCCAAAGCCCTTCTCGCCAGTGCAGAGGGCACGGAAGTTCTCGGCGGTCTTGGGAACGACATCGCTAAAGAGTTCAAACTCAATTCGGCCAACGGTAGCTATAGAGTAAGTCAGGTGAAGGTGGAGTTTAGTCAGCTAGCTAAACACGCAAACCTTGGAAGTGCAACCCTCGATTGAACCTCAAATGGTGGATGCAATTGATGATATTCTTTGATGATAACGTTGGAAGGGGAGAGAGTGGGAGATGCTTGTGAGATGATGAATCGATACAGAATTGATGAAAATCGAAATTGGGTTTGATACCAATTTCCTTCAGTAGTAGCCAACTGGAAACAATAAGGGACAAAAAGGACAAGAAGGCCAAGTGGAGATAGGTATAGGTATAGGTATAGGGAGGGGTCAACTACATACACTTGGTAGGCTGGGCCGGGTCGGCGTACTCGACCTCGAAGAAAGTTCTTGTCATGGCTGCGGCGGAAGCGTGGAAAGCACGGAGACGGGCGTTTGAGAAGGACTGGTTGGAGACGTAGAGAGAGCGTAGGGGAGACGACGAAGACGAGGAGGAAGAACGGAGGAGGGAGGAGGCGAGCGAAGAAAAAGGACGAGGAGGGGAAGAGAGCAAGGTGGGGAAGCGGGCGAGGAGGGGCATGTTTGCGCGGTTTGCCAGGGCGGCAGGGCTCGGTACGGTACGGTACGGTGTTGGTATGGTACGATACGGATGGCGCGGTATTCTGAAACAGGTCAGTCCGCATCAGCAGCTCGTCACTGGACTTTGCAGAGCACCAGTTGATAGATACAACTATCATCCAACATACACAAATCCAAGAGTGAAAGAACAAAAAAAAGAAACAAACAGCTTACACCAAATATGTAACAACAGCAGAAGCAGCAGCAGCCGACGAAGCAGAGAAATAAACCACAAAACCACAACAGCTTAAAGCGCAAATGCAGGCGGGTGCAACCAATCTACGGGAGACAAGTTAGCCCACTGCTGTCATTCCTCACCCTTCCCTCCAAGTTCAGAAGTCTTCGCTTCCAAGGTTTTGCGTCGGCCATTTTGCACTGGGTCAAAGATCCAGCTGCAGGGGACAGGCAGGACAAGAAAACCCAGATGTCCTTTTTTTTTTTTTTTTCCCCATCATTCCATGCCCCACGTCCACACCAACGTCTGCTGCGGAGGGAATCTGTCCAATCCACGCCTTCCTTCCGTTTCAATGGCATGTTGGTCGTTTGGCTGTTGGGCGCATGGAAAAGCTACCTTAGATTTGCTTTGCCCTCCCCTCTGACAAAGCTATGTGCCAAACACACAATTGTCGCGAGAGAACAGAAGGAGATGTGATGGGGAGGGGAAAATATATATATATATATATATATATATATACTTACATACAAAAATTACCTTGCGGTGGCTTGGAATTGACTGATGCTTGTCCTGACAATGATACAAGGAAAAATTTCTTGAAGGAAAAACTGAACAGCTGGAGAATGGAGCAGGGTGCATGATAGGACAGTTGTCGCCTGCCGTAATGGAAAAGGAATGAGAGCCCCCCTTTTTTTTCTTTTTTCACGTTTGCACTTGCCAATAAATTACGAGGTAAAAAGCCGGGTGGATTACGTTGGAGCAACAGCCTCCGACATCATGCAGCATCCATCCAGGTTTACAGAAATGGTGGAGCTGAGATAGTTAGCTAGTTATAAAGGATAATATATATATAACGTGATCTCATTTCTTCTTAGTTAAATCCATTAGATTCACCATCATTATCAATATATATTGAAAGGAAAGAAAGCACGAAACAAAAGGGTGTTGTGTATTGTGCCCACAAAAATCAATGGGAGAAACACTGTCCTATCACAGTACATCAAACACAGAAAGGTAGGCTCCCGGGACAAAACACCCTACTGCCACGAGACCTTTATAAAACAAGCAAATAAATAAATATTTGAGATGGTATACAAGAAGAAAAAATACCCGCTAGATTATATGCAGAAAAAGAACTCTCCCCAATATATATACGAAGAAGGTAGTGGTGATCGATATATCGCCGTAGAAAGGAGAAATGAATCGGGAGGGGACCAGAAACATATTGCCAACTGTCCATCAAACTGTATGTCAAAGAAGCCATGCATGATATATGTATATAGTGAAAAAAAAAAAAAAAAAAAAAAAAAAAAAAAGGTTTGGTGGTTATTTACGAGTCGGGGAAGAGGAGAAAGGGAAGGTTATGTGAGAACGAGACATAGAAAAGAAAAGAAGAAAAGAAAATCTAAGACGGAAAATATATACCTTGCGAAATAGAGGCCTTGAAAAATCTGATTGAATTGACAGTATGTTTTCTGAAGGCAAATGGAGATAGAAAGCTGGGAAAGGGGGACAGAAGGAGCAGATGAGGGAAAACATGATGTTGCTGAACAAATAGAGCGACAAAAATGAAAAGGAAGGAAAGAAAAATTGATGCAGAGGCGCGTAACGTAGGTATATAGTCTCAAGACTCTCGTCACAAAGCTAACAAAAATGGGCTGCTGAGAAAGGCTGAGAAAAGAGGAACAGGTCGAATCGAAGACAAAAGACAAAAGTAAAAAAAGGTAAGGAAAGGAAAGACTCCTCCCTGTATCTAATCATCACGTAGAGGTAGGTAGGTAGGTGCGTCACATCAATGAAAACCCAGGAAGCGGACTGCAAAACGTCAGGGAGAGGGAGCTTTCGGATGTCAAAAAAGGAAAACAGAAACCCCCGATATTTTTTTTAATTTCGATGTTCGATTTCCCTCAATCTGATCAGATCTCATCTCATCTCATCGGAAATCATCATCATCGTCATGGTCCTCCACCACCCCAACCCTCCCCACTGGACCTGGGACTGGCCTCTGAACCCCCAACTGACCTTCCATTTCCACCGTGTCCACCACCACCACCACCACCACCCTCACGCATGCCTACCCCCATCATCTCCATCTGATCAAGCCGCTGAACCAACTCCTTAGTCTCCCGCGCAATCCGAAACGCAATCGGCGGCAACTTCCCCGTAACCTCTCGCATCTCACTAGCACTCATAGCCCGGCTGCCCTCCTCGCCTACCTCAGCGAGGCTGTCGCGGCAATCGGCAAGGATACGGATGATGGGGCCTGCACGGTCGCGGAGGGTAATGGTGTTATTATTAGGATTATTATTAGGATTGTTATTGTTATATCTATCGTTATCGTTATCATGAATACTGTTAGGGTCTGGGTTTTGGTATTTGTGTTGCTGGCGTATCATGGCAGATTCTGTGGCGGAGATAACTTTGCCGACGACGTCGGAGATGGCGTTGATGTGCGTGCTGATGACGGACATGTCGTCTGGCTCGGCGCGGATCGAGGAGACGAGGGCTTGGATAGATTGGACGACGCCTTCGGTTTGATCTTCGAGGTATAACTGTTGTTCATTGTTTCTTCGTTAGTCTTTGATGTGAGGCAGTAGGGGTTAGCAAATTCAGTAGGGGCTGGGGGTTAATCATTACCCTAAGCTCTTCCAACTCCTCATCTAATTCCCTCATCCTGAGACCAGACTTCAAACTCCCACCTGCAAATAGCTGTCCGCTCGAATAAGCCTTCCGATGGAGAGGCGGCATACGTGAATTCGTCCGACTGGGTGACCGTACCGAGTGCGGCGAGCTGATGGCACTGTAGACAGAGTCATTCCCGCTCATCCTGCTCAGACTGGGAGGGACGCTGAAGTATGATGGCGACTGCGTGGAGCCTGGGTTATCTCCAGCATAGTCATCTTCGCCAAATCATCTGCAGGAGTGGGCCGGACTTTCACGGTGCGGACGAG